CAACACTAAATCAGCTGTATTAGATCCAAAGGTAAAATCCAAAGTTTGTGCACCATCACTAACACCTGTCTGCACCAAACACTGTTTATTTCACTGTTAAATGTAATGCAGCTAAAATGCTATTGAAATTCAAAAAGGAAAATAATGTAAAGTATTACATTTAAAATAGAGATGTTTGTCATAACAGTAGCTGCACCGTTTGTAGTGGATTTTAGCATTGTATTTAATGTGGTTGAACCGCAATTGAAATGACAAGATGTAAATTAGGTATTTGATTACATCCATATTAATTTTTGAATGTAAAAGTTCAAACGTGTGATGATGACTACGACCGAGTCACCATCACCAACAAGTTCTCCGAGGCCACACCTCCTCACAGGAAAAGAGAACTGACAACGGACTTTGAGATGACGATGTATAAGGACGCAATTATCCATTTAAATGCCTCCGTGAAGAGAGTGTAATATCGGAGCGGGCGGCAAAAGCTTTCACTTTTAAAACACGTTAAATGACTAAACTCAAACATCTAACACAACGAACACAAAGAACACAAAGTACACAAAGAAACCTAAGGATGAAACATAAAATAGGACGATAAAGAAACCGTATACTTACCTTCAGACCCCCCGGGGGAAGAAATTCAAAAGGGCACGCGCGCGCTGAACACCGTCCTATGTGGGGGATAGAAACCACCCGTTTTCCGCCAGGGGGGAGCGGTTTGGTTTTCCGCAGCTCTCCATACGAACTGGTAAACGAGCAAGATTATCACCGCTGGGTGGTACATTCCGATCGCGTTTGGCGGGAAGAGGAATGCATTAAAGCGATAGATCTTAACTCAGAAAAAGGGGGGGGCTTGCTCGAAGCTAGGTGTGCTATTATATCTCCCAGCTGTCTATTTGAAGACCGTCTCTAACTTGACATACTGAGCGTTTGGTGTATTTATAAGCTTGAATTCTACTTAAATTAAATAAGACAGCCTTAAAGACTGAATGTCTTCATCAAGCTAACTGTATGTCAGTATACAGGTAACATCCCTTTTTACAGGTATTACAGTAGAATAAGTATGGGCATGTACATTTTTAGCTACCGGTTAATTAAATGTCCTTTTTTGTGGTGTGCAATTCTCACCATAGATCAAAGTAAACAACACAATTAATCAGATGTGTATAGACACAGTGCTTCTGGAGCTATTGACGGTTTTTGTCCTTGATCTTTTTTTTTTGGTCCGACGGAATCTGTTTTTAAAGGAAACAATAAAATCTGTTTTTAAAAGCACTGAAACGATTTGGAGGAAAACAATTGCGTGTGATGTAGGTTTGGTCTAGAAACGCGTGCATTTTATTCCGATTGGAAATCTCGTCTCACTTTTTCGGTATTAACACAAAAAGAGCGGTACGTTAAATGTCACCCAAACCGCAAAAGAACAGGTGTGCATCGCTCTCTGTGGTCATTCTGTCATGAATATGTAAGTCTTTACTGACTACCGTAGTCCGATCAAATGTTTTTAGCGCCGAAAAGACGAATATCGAAAATTAAACCGTGGTTAACCAACCTACTTTCTAGTAATGTCTGCTTTATGTCACGTTAACGTTACTTGCTTATATTTATCTTTTCATCATGAAAGGTCGACACAGTTGTGTCGTCCAGTTGCCTGCCCTCATTCACAAATGTCACAAAATTCTCCAGTTTCTCAAAATATCTCATAAATGTGGCCTGAACCGTAGCTGTGGGAGGTAGTGTGTGTGTTTTACACAATTTACAAATCCGTCGGTACAGTTTTGCTAACCGAGAGTACAGTTTACAAATCCGTGGGCACAGTTTATAAACTGAGAGTACGCATTACTAAACTGCGGGGACAGATTTTCCTCCTCACATTTTTTTTCTCGTTAGTGACCCCTATGGGGCTCCATAGATTTTAACTCGCGTTTCACTTTTTGCTCTGCTCGCTTCAAAATTACAGCAGGAAATACGTCAGCGGCCAAAGCTTGGTAGCTGATTACCTGAACTGTTGATTGCAAGCGTTCAGTCTGTGACTGCCTGAATTTGTTGCCAGTGTGTTTTTTCCAGTTTGAACCTTGAATTATCTCAATTATTCACATATTCAACAACTGTTTTTCAGTCTTGCCTTAGTTTATTGAAAAAATAATTAATTAAAAGTATGGACTAATTTATTTATTATATTATTAAGGGCGACAGCAAAAGCAGACAGCTCAGATGTGAGACAAGAAGCGTCTCAAAGGTGTGAAGTCAATTAATTAGCTGAATGTTTAATAATAAAAGTTTTATTTAAAAAAATAACACAAATTGTACAAAGATATCGTTCATATAACCTTTCTTCTCAGGCTTGATGGCATCTTGCAAAAAAGAATTGCTGACCAGCTGGACAAATATTTTCAATCTGCATCACAAGAGCTAACTTTCTCCAGCGTGGTCTTCAACAATGGCAGCGACAAAAGACAAAAGAAAAGCACCCCACAATGCTCCATGCATGTGTGTTATATGTGAGTAAAGCCAGTGTAGATACAGGAGCATTGAAGGAATTTTTAACTGGCAATTTTTAATGATTCATTATTGTTTATTTGGATATTAATTATTTTACATACTTTTTATCTCATCAGTAATCACTTTCAAGTACTTTCAATAGGTTGAGAGAATTTTATTCAGTCATTTTATGGTGTGCTTTCCATATTCTGAGAGGGGTTGCATGAGTAGTGCTGTTCAAATGTAATACACCTAATTTCTCGGCAGATGTGATGTCAAGAATTAAAACACATTTCTTTAACCAAAGAATTAAAACACATTTCTCTGACCAAAAAGGGAAGAATCCCATCTACTCAGTAACTGCCCTTGACCAGAGGTACTTCAGCTATTGATTTATAATTATTACTTGTAAATATATTGTTATAAATTCTTTGGCCAACTTAATTGTTGTGTGCATATTCTTAGGACTTTTGGGAAAATTTCTGCTTCAGCAGTTACGCAGTTATATAGCTAAACACTCTCTCTCTCTCTCTCTCTCTCTCTCTCTCTCTCTCTATATATATATATATATATATATATATAGTCCATCGCAGGGCATATATATATATATATAGATAGATAGATAGATAGATAGATAGTAGGGGTGCGGGAAAAAATCGATTCTTAGATGCATCGCGATGCGAACGTGAACGATTCTGAATCGATTCACAAATGTCAAAAATCGATTTTCTAAATATTTAATTTATAACGTAATGTTGACGGAATGTAAAAGGCGGAACTTGGAAGTGGGGAAGTGCAGCACCTGGACAGTCTGTGACGGCACACAACAAAAACACAACTGGATGAGTGAGAAATCCGACCGGCTCCCTCTGCATTAAAGCCAGGTTAGGTCAGGAGTCAAAACCCAAATGATAAGAAGAGCCATTTTGTCCTTTCAACAAAAATCAAACCACCTTGGGAGCCACAACATTTAATGTCCAGTATGTGCTGATGTCCTAGTATAGACTAAACAATATAAAGGAAAATGCAGATTTACTTTGCTGTGCTTTAAGCTTTAGCTATAGCCGCTTTTCTCTAATCTCCGCCAGAAAACTTTTCCTCAGAAGTAGATCAGTTAAATGTCTCTCAGCGTTCGACTGTTTTACGAGGCTGAAGTCGCTTCTTATTCTCCAGCTTCTTGTTCGAATTTACCCGTTCCACCTTAAATTCTAACTGAGGCGCCGAATGTAAATGCGGCACCGTTTAAGGTGGGACGGGAGAGTTCGAAAGAGAAGCGACTTCATCTTCGCCACTTTTTAGTGTCTGACAGTCTCTCATTGCAGATTTAACGTACCAGGAAACCAACTGCGCTGCTTATAAATGCGAATAACGCATCGCTGCTATGTGACCTGCAGTCTGCACGCCAATTCTCAGTCGTTGCGAAACAGGGCTTTCGCGCTATGTTGCACACGTCCCGTCTCAAAGATATTTTACTGACACAGCGACCCCCCCGTCTCTACAACGAGACCAAAACCCAAGTTATAAAATCACTAAAGAAAATGGTTAGAATAGCTGTAACGTGCTGCGTGGTCATCCATCACCACTGGATCTTATTTCACTGTAACTGCGCATTTTATCGCAGATGAGTAGCAGCAGCTTCTCATGCTCCAAACAAGAGCACTGAATGAGAGCCTTCCAGTTCACTTGCCACATCACTTCCATTTGTTTTATTAAAAAAGATATTGGAAGTAAACTCATTATGGATCATGACAAATACTTTGCTTTAAAAGTACCAAGTCACTTTAAAGAACAATAACACAGACTCACTTAGTCACTTTAAAATGTATATTGTCTCTATATTCTGTGTATATTTTGTGTATATTTAATATATTTCAGTTGGTTTTTCTTGTATTTTTATTTTTACTTCTTTACTTTCTGTAGAGTGATTATCTGAGCCTCACCACAAGCATTTCAATGCATAAATGTCCTGACATGTTGTGCAAGTGACAAATAAACTTGAAACTTGAACTCGAAACTTGAGCTCACACAGTGAGAAAATATAAATGCTATACAGAATGCAGATGCATCGAGATATAATTGCATCGCAGCCTCTGAATCGTAATCGAATCAAATCGTGAGGTGCCTAGAGATTCCCACCCCTAATAGATAGATAGATAGACAGATTATAACCGCGAATGCTTGCAATCGACAGTTCAGGTAATCAGCTAAGTCTTGGTCGCTGACATACTTCCTGCTGTAATTCTGAAGCGAGCAGAAATTTCAGAAGCGAGCTAAAAGTGAAACGCGAGCTGAAATCAGTGAAGCGAGCGCGGAGCTGCGATTAGCGAGCACACTAACCCCCCAGTGTGCTGCGTCTGAAGCGCGCAGTTCTTGTTTCTGTGCTCTTGGTGTCGCTGTTTGCGCTCGGTTTTCTTGATTCTGTGCGCTCGTTTTTCTGACTTGCTCGATTTAACCTTGTCTTTGCGCTCTCACATTAAAGACAGTAATCTCACTCCATAAATGTTCTCCTTTTAGCTTACCTGCCAGAAATAAAATGAGGGAGCGCGATTATGAACGTGCCCAGTGACATCAGCAAACATCCGACAGCAATGATCTTTGGTCGATGAAGCTTCGCACCAAAGTAACTGACAAAGGCGATAACCAGTAAGTTACCTAGCAGCCAAAACAGAAAGCAGAAAGAAAGGGAAGAAACATCATCTATACAGTGCGGAGGAACAGCTACAACTAGTGTTACTAGTGTTGTACTACTCGAGTCCCGTCATGGTCTCGAGACCATAACGAGCAGCCTCGTTCTCGACCTCATTTGGACTCGGTCTTGGGGTAAGATGTACTCGGAGGTTTACTAGGAGCTAAATTATCGTTGAGTATCAATGAAACCAGAATAAACAGAGCTTTCTCTGTGTGCTAAACTCGCTGCTCTTCTTGCTGCTTCGCTGAAAACGAGTAATAACAAAGACAACGTTCTATCGCCTGCTGTGCTTGTATGACATGGTAAGTAATCGTTTGTTTTTTGTTAGTAACGAAGGTGCCTTGTCTAAATATCCTACCATTGCGCATATTTATAGGTAGAGCTCTTCATAAAACTGTAGGATATTTTTACAGCCTAAATCACACAAAGCTGAAGCCAAACTTATAATTCGCCAGCTTCTTGTCCTTAAATGGTGCAGCAGTTACATTCTGGTGCTTCAGGCCACTGAGGCACTCAGGCACCATTTAAGGTAGAACTCCTTATCAGAAAATGTTACTAGCATCAAAAGAGTAAGTTATAGTTACTGAGAGTTTAAGTTTACTGTTCATATTACATTGTTTACAAATCTGTTGATAGAAGATCATTAATTGTACTTAATCTTTGGCTATTTTCTACTGTATTTGTAGCTATTTTCATTATTTTATGTGGCCATGTAATATTATTAACTTCTCCCTACAACAGTCATTGTTACTGTAATACATAACAGACAATGTAGTAATGTTTTAGACTATATATTTAATGTTATATTTTACAAAATATATAATATAATATATTATAATATAATATAATATCCCTTCCTGGATCGGGGCCTTGTCGTGGCAGAAGGGCTTGTGTGGTCTAGGGATCTTCAGAGCTAAGTCGTCGGGAGCAACATGCTCCTGGTAGGGTCTCCCAGGGCGAACAGGTCTGGAGTGAAGACCCAGACTAACTCGATCCAAAAACCCTCCATGAAAAACGGACACAGAAGATCGTGTACCCTGCCTGGGAGAGGGTCACCGGGACCTACCCCTGGAGCCAGGACTGGGGGTAGTGTCCCTTGGCGAGCGCCTGGTGGCCGGGCAGCCCACGTAACCCGGCCAGGCTCAGCCTGAAGAGGCAACGTGGGGGGGCCATGTGGGCCCACCACCCGCAAGGTCCAGCATGGGGGGGTGGTGCAGTGCCGTACAGGCAGTGGGAGATTGTAGGGGGGCCCTTGGTGGCCTAGGCCCCTGCGGCAGAAACTGTCTCTTGGTACGTGGAATGTAACCTCACTGGGGGGGAAGGAGCCGGAGCTTGTGCGGGAGGTTGAGAGGTACCAACTAGATATAGTTGGGCTCACCTCCACCCACTGTGTCGGCTCTGGAACCAAACTCCTGGATAGGGGTTGGTCCCTCTCCTACTCAGGGGTTACACAAGGTGAGAGGCGCCGGGCGGGTGTGGGGATACTCACGAGTCCCCGGCTGGCGGCAGTACAGTTAGAGTTTGTCCCGGTGGACAAGAGGGTCGCCTCAATGCGTATTAAAATCGCAGAGAGGAAAACTCTGACTGTTGTGTGTGCTTATGCACCAAACAACAGGTCGGAGTATTCGGCCTTCTTGGAGCAAGTGGGCGGGGTTCTGGAAAGGGCCCCGCCTACAGACTTCATAGTCTTACTGGAAGACTTCAATGCTCATGTTGGCAATGACTGGGAGACCTGGAGAGGCGTGATTGGGAAGAAAGGCCTGCCCGATCTAAACCCGAATGGTGAATTGTTATTGGACTTCTGTGCCAGGCATGGATTGTCCATAATGAACACCAAGTTCGAACACAAGGATGTTCATAAGTGTACATGGTACCAGAGCTCCTTGGGTCAAAGGTCAATGATTGACTTTGTTGTCGTTTCATCTGACTTGGGACCATATGTTCTGGACACTCGGGTGAAGAGAGGTGCTGAGCTGTCAACTGATCACCATCTGGTGGTGAGTTGGATCAGATGGAATAGTGAGGGTGTGCTGGGAACGACTGTCGGAGGCCCCTGTTCGGAATGATTTTAACTCCCACCTCCGGGAGAGCTTTTCTCATGTCCCGGAGGAGGTAGGGTCTGAATGGACCCTGTTCAAAACCTCAATTGTGGAAGCTGCCAGGCGTAGCTGTGCCCAAAAGCTTGTTGGTGCCTGTCATGGCGGTAACCCAAGAACCCCCTGGTGGACACCGGTGGTGAGGGAGGCCGTCAAGCTGAAGAAAGAGGCCTTTAGGGACTGGATGGCCCGAAGGACTCCCGATTCAGCAGATAGGTACCGACAGGCAAAAAAGGTGGCAGCTGCAATGGTGGCAGAAGCAAAATCCAGGGCGTGGGAGGAGTTTGGTGAAGCCATGGAAAAAGACTTTCGGTCGGCCTCGAGGAGGTTCTGGACAACTGTCCGGCGACTCAGGAGTGGTCGGGGTGGCTGCGCCCAAGCTGTATTCGGCAGGGGTGGAGAAACTCTGACTTCAAATGAGGATATTGTCGGTCGGTGGAAAGAGCACTTTGAGGAACTCCTTAATCCGGGAGACATGCCTCCCTCACGGGAGTCAGGGCCAGAGGCCTCTGGCGTGTCAAGCTCCATTTCCCTGGTGGAGGTCACTGAGGTAGTTGGCAAACTCTTCAGTGGCAAGGCACCGGGGGTGGATGAGATTTGTCCAGAGATGCTTAAGGCTCTGGATATTGTGGGGCTGTTGTGGCTGACACGCCTCTGCAATAGTGCATGGACCTCGGGAACAGTACCCTTTGACTGGCAGACCGGGGTGGTGGTCCCTGTTTTCAAGAAAGGGGACCGGAGGGTGTGTGCCAACTATTGGGGTATCACACTGCTCAGCCTCCCTGGGAAAGTCTGTGCCAAGGTGCTGGAAAGGAGACTTTGACCGATAGTTGAACCTCAGATTGAGGAGGAACAATGCGGATTCCGTCCTGGCCGTGGAACAATGGACCAGCTTTTCACTCTCTCACGGATTGTTGAGGGGGCATGGGAGTTTGCCAACCCAGTCTACATGTGTTTTGTGGATTTGGAGAAGGCTTATGACCGTGTTCCCCGAGATATCTTGTGGGAGGTCCTCCGGGAGTATGGGGTGCTGGGGTTACTACTCCGGGCCATTCAATCTCTGTATGCCCGGAGTGAGAGCTGTGTTCGTATACTCGGCATTAAGTCGGACTATTTCCGTGTTAGCGTTGGACTCTGCCAGGGTTGTGCCCTGTCTCCACTCCTGTTTGTGATATTCATGGACAGGGTGTCAAGGCGTAGCCGAGGTCAGGAGGGCATTAAGTGTGGAGGCCGGAGGGTGGCGTCTCTGCTATTTGCAGATGATGTTGTTGGTGTGAAGATGGTGTGAAGCGGTTGGTATGCGGATCAGCACCTCCAAGTCTGAGTCCATGGTCTTAGCCTGGAAAAGGATGGCATGACCACTCCAGGTAAGGGGAAAGGACTTGCCACAGGTGGAGGAGTTTAAGTATCTCAGGGTCTTGCTCACGAGTGATGGGAAGAGGGATCGTGAGATTGACTGCAGGCTGGGACAGGTGGCAGCAGTAATGCGGTCGCTGTACCGGACTGTAGTGGTGAAGAGGGAACTGAGCCATAAGGCGAAGCTCTCTGTTTACCGATCGGTCTACATCCCGACCCTCACCTATGGTCATGAGCTGTGGGTAATGACCAAAAGAATGAGATCGCGAATACAAGCGGCGGAAATGAGCTTTCTTCGCAGGGTGGCGGGCTACACTCTATTTGATAGGGTGAGGAGCTCGGCCATCCGGGAGGAGCTCGGAGTAGAGCCGCTACTCCTCTGCATTGAGAGGAGCCAGCTGAGGTGGTTCGAGCATCTGATCCGGATGCCCCCTGTATGCCTCCCGGTGGGGGTGTACCAGGCACGGCCTACTGGAATAAGACCCCGGTAAGACCCGCTGGAGGGATTATATCTCCAAGTTGGCCTGGGAGCGGCTTGGGGTCCCCGGGAATGAGCTGGAGGAAGTTGCGGGGGACAGGGTCATCTGGGATTCTCTGCTCTCCCAACTGCTACCCTAGCGGTTAACGATGATGATGATGATGATGATATAATACAATTAACTACTAACAAATTTTAATTTTAATTTAATTTTTTTTTCAGAGAAAAATCTTAGTCTGGTCTCGTTATTGTCTTGGTTTCAGCCACTCCTGGTCTCAGTCTTGACTTGGACTCAACTATTAAATGTCTTGATCTTGACTCGGACTCCATGTGTCCCAGTCTCAGTCTTGACTCGGACTTGAACTAGCGATCTTGACAACAACACTAGCTACAACAATACAAGTGACTCTCTTTTGTTGTTCTTAGGTCAGTGCTTGTACACAGATGTCTTCAAGACAGTTATAGAAGTCATGCTCCTCTTTCTAAGATGCATTACACAAATTACATGGATGTCCATGTGATAGCAGCTTTTTATATTGTTGCTGTCGAAACAAAACCTTCAATGTCCATTTTTTCTGTTTTTTTTCCATTTGAAAATGCCACCAGGGTTTAAAATTACTTATAATCTTATTACATTTACCTATATTAACAGCAATATTAAAACATATTAAAACTCTAGTCTCTGTTATGTGGATTGTTCTACCGAACTGGTTCAAAGTCAGAATTGATAACCCATTTTGGACTTTGACTTGGACTTTCGACTAAAATCTTTTCGCTTAGAATGACTTTATACATTAATTACATTTATTTTATTGTTTTTAAACAAATGATTGAGTATTTTTTGTCGCTGACAAAACAGTTTTAACACTACTGAAACTTTACCAAATGTTTCAATAGTGAGCGTTTCAGTAGTGACAGTTTTAGCTCATTTTTAACATAACCCAAAACACTAGGCAGTACATGACTAGCAAACACAGCCTCAGACTGCACACGCATAAAATATAATATAATATAATATTTTTCTTTAAAGCACAAAAAAGTTTGTAAATATGTACCGCAATAGTGACAATGTTTACTTAATGTTGCACACTGATTTTTGAATATATTTAAGTTATTACTATCTCAGTTAACACCTTGGGTTTAAATACATATTAACATAAACCTTGTAAATATTTATGGTATGAATACCTTGTATATATTAATGCTCTGAATAAAAATGCTTTTTTTCCCTGTGGGACTGCTGTTTGATCTAAGTCAGTAGAATGGCCCATATATAGATCAGTATCTTGATCCTGGAGTCCTCTTTACCTTCATATTTTTGGTGTTTTTCCAGTTCTAACACATTTGATTCAACTAATCATCTAATTACCAAGCTCTTCCTGAATTGAACTGGGTGTGTTAGAGCAGTAAAAACACTATAATGTACAGAATGGGGGATGCTAGGACAAGGATAAAGAACCATCGATACAGAGGTACTGTATGCTGAGGTTTCTGTCCTGCACTAGAAGCCAAATTAACAGGTGAAGTGCTTGACAGGCACTGTGACTCAGTACTGCATGATAACTGTCACTGTACGTGAACCAATGTTCACAAAATATTTGGTATCCTAGTATGTTCTATGTTTCAGAAGGTCAATTTCCTTTAATACCACATATTTTATACACAAATGCAATGATAATACCAATCTCTCTCATTCAGATTAAAGGTTTAGGTTTCATAAGAAGTCCATGAAACTTCAAATAACTTATGCATAATGTACTAAAGCCTCAGAGTGTATGGCATGGGGGAGGAAATGTGTCCTGACTGACACTGGCTGGCTAACTCGAACACGTGATCCCAGCCAGGCTGCTTAAGCTACTCGTTCTGGCTCCAGCTCAGCTCTGCTCTCTGCCCTGTTCCTATGGCAACACTCCTATGGAAACGCTGGTTGCCGGGGCCATGTGAGTGGCAACTGCAGCAGTGTGTGGGGCTTCATCCCCTGCTTTGGAACTCCCTGAGTCCAAGGTTCATGCCCCCACTCAGCACAAACAGGAAATTCATTCATTCATCCAGGAGGACCACTGCAAACCAACATGGACCTATTTCATATCATTTAAAGAGGAACTTACAGGGGTCAAACTTAACACTTAAATGGACTAATGTGTTGTGAAGCAGCATAGATACACGAAGGAAATACAGGAGGGTCTTGAGGAGAGAGATATTGGATCAGGAATAAACAGTGTAAACCCAACATGCTCCAAAGTTAAGTTAGCTAACTGATGAGCAAGTATGGCTAGCTAAAAAGACTTTGAAAGACTTTTTTAAAGAGAACTCGGTACAGGGTGACTCACAGCAAAGCACATACACCACATTTTAGCCTTTTGTCCTGACTCAGTAATGCTATTTCTTTGAATTTTCACAAAAAATTAAATCCCACATACTGCAGCCTCAATCAAACATTTTGCTGCCATTGCATCTAGCGCACCACTATGGCCACTGAGTTGGCACCGGAACACCGGTCCCCAATTACTGCAGGGTATTTTGCATATTGGTCTTAAATCTTTAATGTCTACATAAAAAGCAGCTATTAATCTGCTCTTTTCCTTTAACGTCAATGTATTTTACAAATATATTGTGGGACCTGCCATGCAAAGTGGCTCTCGTGCGGTGCCACACTCCTGGTGTAAAAAGAGAAAATTGTTGTTGGTGATGCAGTTGTTATCAGTGAAATAGTTGGTTTCTTTGTAGTGAATTGTGTCTGACAAGGGTGGGTTTTGTGTGTGACCCTCCTCCTATGTACCCTCCTTGTATGTTGTGTTCCTCTGCGTTACCCACTCCCTGTGTTTCTTTTTGGGGTAGTGCTGGGCTGGGTGTTTCTTGCTTTCGTTGGAGTGCCTGTTTACTAAATAAAAGAGCATTCGCCCATACATGTAATGTTTCCCCGTGTCTTTTTCTGTGCCAAAGCTAAAATATCAATAATATTCCATAACCAATCTGAATGTGGGCACATGCTGAGAAACTATGGCAGTGCATCCAACAATAAGCTTGTAGCTTCTTTACTACAGTGACAGAAAACACAGCACACAGAAAATTCCAATTCTGCATTCTGATCCATTTTACTATGTCCAACATGGACATGCATTCCCCAAACTACTGTGAGCTTCTAAACATACTACTAGAGCTTCTAAACTTATTGCTGACAACACATTAATAAGCAGCTTGAATATGGGTATGTAGGCTCCTGTTTCTGTTGTATAAGCCTGTCTGCCAGACCGCTGCACTGTGTTGTTGATGACTGACATACCTTACAGCACACCTGCTAAGCCTGTGGATTATTTCCCCAATGCTAATATTGCACAGGGAACACTGCTGGCACCATGAAAGACTGCTATTTCCTTAAAAGAGAGACTCTGTGACTTGAGCACAACCGAGACACACAAGAATGATTTGGAGGAGTCTGCTGACGCATGATGATCCGGTTCTTACCTATTTCAAAGCTTCCATCAATGACTCCTATTAAGTAACTGGGGATGTCAAAGCGCCTTTCCAGCTGAGTTATTGTACTTTTCATATAGCTCCCAGATAAAGCCTTCGAGAAGTAGGCAAAGGACAAGGCTACAAGGAACATCTGGAATGAGAGAGACAAAGAAAAGAGATATTTACAGTGTGAATCACTTTTTCATAAAGTACAGCGCCACTTACACTGTAACACATCATTCGGTTTCTGATGTAAAAGCATTGCTTCATTAATATGCATTTAAAATGATAAGAGACGAGAGAAGCGCTGAGGGAAAAAGAGAGAGAGAACCAGAGAGAGAGGTGTGGAAACACAAGGCAGGGTGGCTGGGTGGGGGGGCATCATTTTTCAAGCTGCACTGCATTATGGGTAGCGGGGACAAAAAGAGGATTAGGAGAGCTTATGTCATGCTCTTGAGCGATCCTGCCACATCCAGCCAGAGTGACTCAAGCCTGGAAAGGTGGAAAAACACAGTTGTTGGATCTGATAATGATTGATATACTACTACTATACGACATTTTTAGGATCCTGTTAACGATGGTTGTCTCTCTGTCTGACAGGTTATGAATCCTCACAGCAGTGCATGCTCATCTTTGTGCCCCCCCCCTCCCAAAACAGGCTGACACAGAGCACCCATAAACTAGTGATTACAAAAGAGAGGGTGAGAAGAAAGATGCAGAATGGTAGAGACATTCACGTGAAGGATTAGGTATTCATGTTTAGTACATATTTTAAAGAAACCTATCTATTTAAAATACACTTGTAATTCATTTTCATTTTGTGCTTCTGCTTTTGTTACACAGTTTTACTATTTAACCACGTTGAGTTTTGTGTATGAAAATATATTGTTATTGGATATAACAATAAAATAATATGTTATTGTTATTATTATTATTATTACGATGTTTCAGCAGTCAGATTTCATCCATAAACTAGGCACAAACAATGATTAATTTAGTTGTCCTGTACTTGAATGCTAAAAATAAGTTTCTTTGTAATAAAGCTAATTAGACAACCGCCTACATAAAAAAATACTGCTTTTCTGTACATCATGAAAAACAAAACAGAGCAAGATATAACTGCTAGATTTAAAAAAAAGAAGGTTGTTAGAGTTAACAGCATTCTGTCTTTAAAAGTAGTGATGCACTGAAATGAAAATTCTTGTTCGAAACCAAAACTGAAATTCAGGACAAAGTGTATGCAACAGTATCTGCCTCAAAACCCAGAATCCTCCATAACAGAGAATGGATATCAAATAAATTCTATTTTTTAGGTTATAATTTGCATTTTGCCTGTTGTTTGTGAATTTTGTTTGTCATTTCAAAAACTGATGGTATTGGCATGCTAGCAGAGACTTTCCTTTCTGGTTCTGCTGTTTTGCTGTATTCTGTGTATTGAGCACAATGTTGTGTTTTCAAGTGGAATCAAACCTGTCATGAACTGTTTGAATGGCACAGGACAGTGAAGGAAACAAACAGCTTTTTTAATCACTATTTCTCATTTTCATTACCATTCAAATGATTTGTTAAGTGTTAGATTTTGACATTTTCAAGCTTCTTTCTCTTTCAGTGGCAAAAATTTTAATGCCTCCAAATGGTATCTTAGCAGTAAGTTTACGCTAGTGCACATGAACATTTTTTGGCTTTACACAATCACTTTCAGAAGGGTCTTTCTAATATAAGGGGAGATGGCAAAAACTGTAATGGCTTGGCCAGTCAAATCACACTGTAAGATGTAGGCCAGCCTTGACTTTAGTGAAACTCTTATCAGTAAAACTAGTTCCCTTCATCAAAACTGTCAAGAGTGTACTACACTGAGCCATTAATATTAGCAGTTTAAAAAACAATTTGAAGAAATTTTTACTTATTTTTGCTTATAGAACACATCAAAATGCTGATGGTTACAGAGCCCTACATAAAGTTGCATTACAAAGATATGTTTGTTGCTCTGCTATAGCTAAAATTAATGGCATTTGCCAGAGTCATTGTTAGAGACCCTTTGTTAAACTATCGCCTCTGCTACTGTCTGCTACAAGCTGGTGTGTACCGTGAACATACTGTTCATTGTCTGAAGATTGTGAAATAGAATTAAATGAGTGGGGAAAAGAGTTTTGAATGTTTGTGTTCCCTAGCTTGCCATTAGGAGGCTAAATATTTGATATTTTGTCCAGTTTTACCATTTTTCTGGTAGAAAACCTTGGAAAATGCTGTCATTATTGTAATTAAATCATGAGCTGTCTACACCAATTTGCAGTCTCATCTGGGGTCCACTGGTCCACTGAAAATCAAAATGTGATTGGTTTTTGGTTTCCTCTCTCACTTCTTATGTTGGTAGTTAATTTTATGGGTTAGGCTTTCAGTCCAGCCCCTGAAGGCTTACCTAATGGGAGAGCATAACTGACTGTATCTACCTAGATAAAAAAAAAATTGTGGGTGTTTTAAGATTTTATTTCAAACCAAAACTTATAAATGAAATAAGATAATTACTCCAATACTCACATAGTTTAAATCAAACAGGCATGATGATTCTACTCTGAGTTTAAAAACACACATGTGTGTTTGTAGTCTGTAATCATCAGAACGTGTTATAGCAGCGATAATAAGTAATGATTTCTTTGAAAAAATGCAAACATGTATTTTATACTTCCAAGAAACCTTTAGGCCTTCTCTGAAAGCGTAGAAGGCCCTAAGGGTTCCCCCTTTGTGCAATACATGTGCAAGGGTCTAAAAATGGATCTACTGAACTTGAAATTATAATAGATGTTTAGCCACAAGCCCTGAAAAGTACTTGCATCTTATAGTACTCCTGTGTTCACTGCTTTGATGCAATTGTATTTAATCCATAGTGGCAATTTGTTTAATTTAATTTGATCCACTGATAAAATGGAATTATCTGTTTACAAAACTAATGCACAGTACACAAAGTTTTTATTGTCTTTGTAAAATAAGTTCTGCACACATTTTCCACATTTGCCCAGTTGCCATGAGAATGGGATACAGAAAGCACAATCAACATTACAGTAAAGTAAAACTACATTAAACTAGATTACAGCAAAGTAAAACTAGAACTAGAACTAACAGAATACTAATCTTCCAAGTTTTACTCAAAATGCTAAGAGCTTGTGATATGCTAAGCATTTAGATATATTCCAAGTTTGACTTTTGACTGAAAAATGAAAAGGAAAACTGTAATTGTGAAGTAGACAAAATCTTCCACCCTCCATTTGCATATTTAACGGATGCTTCCATCCACCCTGCATGCTTCCTAGTTCTGGAGGTGTGCAGATCATGCAGGGTGAGAAAATCATTGCTGACCTATCACCCCTGGGTCATCACCCTGCTCCTCCCTTTCAGCTTCCCTCAGGCAGATGCTTTAGCCAAAAGAAGGTCAAAACAACCAGAAGACCCCAGAAAAGTTTCTTTCCTCACAGTTGTTGCACATAAGCATTGTTGAGTTGCTTGACACACTGTTTTTGTAATTAACCTTTACATACTTCTTCATTCATAAATGTATATTTATGTGAATGTCTACAAGTATGGTTGTTTGCATGTGTGAGTGACAGTGTGTATGCATGGTAGAACTCAAGTATGGATGTCCGTGTTACTGCAAAAGTGGTAGGACTCAAGTATGGATGTCTATGTTACTGTATAAGTGTGGTAGAACTCAGGTATGGATGTCTGTTACTGTATTAGTGTGGTAGAACTCAGGTATGGATGTCTGTTACAGTATTAGTGTGGTAGAACTCAGGTATGATTGTCTATGTTACTTTATAAGTGTAGTAGGACTCAGGTATGGATGGCTGTTCCTGTATCAGTGTGGTAAAACTCAGGTATGGATTTCAACATTATTGTGGAAGTGTGGTAGAACTCAGGTATGTATATCTATATCACTGTATAAATGTGGTACAACTGGTACATGGATCTACAGTACTATATAAGTGCAAAACTTCTATTTTCAACTTAGCCAAGCCTGATTCTGTTTTTTTTTCCTCTAGTGATTTACTCTGGTAGCTGAGTGTAGCATTAGGGGGCTTTTACAAGCACTTTTATTGGTTTATTATAGTGTAAATGCCACCGTTTCATGTGCAGGGTCATAGTGTTATCCACTCTGCCACCCAACTGTTCCTAACAATGACACCACTAAACAGAAGCCATGGCCTCACCAGTAAGTGAAAAAAAGACTTCTTAGCTCCATCTTGTGGACTAGGAAAACAATGAGTTTTGGAATTCTATTAGTATGTTTGGGCTTTAAAATATTAATCAACGCAGTTTCTTTTCCGTAAATAGTGCAATACTACACTGTAGTAGGTTTACTTTCACACTCCAATCAATGTTTAGATTTCTCACTGTCACTGTTGGGCCACAGTAGACATATGGTTATGTGCCAAAGAGGGGGAATGATCGAGGCAGACTGACAATCTCTGAATGAGGAATTCTTTACTTAGAAATTGGAAGCATATGACAACTCTCTGCTCTGAGGTAACTATATCCCATGAGTGTGTCCCATGTAAATCACATGGGTCATTTTAGCCTGCCATATACTGTAAAGATTTCAACAGTGACTAAACACCCTTTTATTTCCTAAAGAGTTACTTAGAGTTCTTTATGTACAGTAATAACAATAATAATTAAAGAACTCTAGAATGTGGTATGAGCTGTGGCAATGGCAGGCTGGTAAACTGCCTTAAATGCACAACTAGAAGGATGTAGCCTAAAATTCCTTCTTAGTACACTAAAGTAATAAGATTAAATATAGAGGCAAAAGGTCCTCATGTGCCTGACCCTGCGCTGGACTTTGTGTTTGCCTGCCTGAACAAAGCATAAGTAGAAGTTGTAATAAAAAAGGTTTCTTGTTAGGGGAGTTTTGCATTTTTTAAAAGCCAAGTAGAACTATGAGCAGATAGCTCTTTACAGAAAGATGTTTTTCTCATAATAGGTTAAAGGAAATGCTACACATTTACAAAGAGCCTTTTTCTTTAAGGTGAGCAATGAAAATATTAACTATTCACAGCTTGCAGTGGTGTTGACATATATAGTGTTGTGGAAAAGTCAGAGATTCCCCTTCATTGGGGAAGGGTAACATACCCTTCTATTTAACCCCTTAAAATCCGGTGCTTACTACATACTAAGGCTTATTATTCAGTAAATAAAAACTTAAAAGCATTCTCAGGTTGAGCTATTCTTAGGTTATAGAAGTGTATAATAAAACTTGTAATAAAAACCTGACCATAAATGAGGTCAACACAGAAGCCTCAACAAGTAAATATACATTTTCAGTATTTAGTGTCCATCCTTTTCTTCTGTTACTATTTCTTTTCTTACTATTATTACTTTTTTCTTACTATTATCACTTAGTATTATTACTATTTTCTTTCTATTATTTCTTTCCTTTTCAGGAGACTTTTTTCAAATAAATTTCCAGGGATATTTTTCCACACCTCCAAAGTTCAGCCTTAGAAGTGACACTTTTTACCTCTCTTGATTCAAGTAATTCCAGTCAAAACAGAGTTAATGATATTGAGGTTTGGACTCTGGGTTTAACAATCCATTGTTTTGAGAACAACAGCAGCTTCACTGTTTGATTTGCAAATGTTCTTCTTGTCTATTTCTTGACAGCTACACATCATTTCAGATTTACAATATTGAGGAGTCTTCTTTCAGTGTAATGATAGACAGAAACAGATTTAAACAAATTAGACAGAAACTGTTTATCTGATCGTGACAGTTTTGGTGGTCTACTAGGTCTTGTACGGTTGTTAGGAGTCCCAATTTCTCTGTATCTTTTATTCATTTTTTGAACTCCAGTTATGAAAAATACTGTTTTTTCACTTATTTTCCTTCGACTTTCTCCTTCCTTATGCAAGTAGATGATCTAATATTTAATCACTTCAAAAATATATTCTGAACAATGAATAACTTGTATTTAATTGTCATTTTGACTGGAAAGTAAATGAAGGGTGGTCTCTGACATTTGCATAGTACCATAAAGCTTGACTAAAGACCATAACTGAAGGAAGGCGGAGGGGCAACTATGCCCGAAGGCTCTACATAATGGATGAGATGGTGTCACTGTCTGTAACAAGCCTTACATTAATGTCTATATCATTAAGTTTATATGTGAAATAAAGATAAAGTCCTTAGGATCATATAACTACGACTGGCAGCTAACATCAGCATGAGTTTTTAAGAGCTAAATTTCAAGAGATTTCTTCTTAACTGCACAGCCGTCTCCTCTTGATCATATTAATATGCCTTCAATTAGGTATATAACACACTTTTGTGCCCAGTAGTCAATATGAAGAAAGGAGTATGTTAATATGATAAACAACTGGAAAAGAAACAAGTAAATGCACATACCTAAAATAATGGTTGCATTATATCATAAAAAAAAATAGCTAAAAGGATCTGAAAAACATTTATACTCACAGCTCAAACTCACCGAGTGCTGTATGAGACACTAATTGGCTTTTGTTCTATATGCTCACAGCTACTATACCCTTATTCATCACGTCATCTTGTGTTCCTGCAACATGCAGAGCAAGGGCTCTGGCCACCAGCTCTCTGCATGGCTATTTAGCCAGTGCCACTGTGTAGTTGATATGGAGCAAACTGTGCAAGAACATGTCTCAGATTATTCAGAACCAGACAGAAGCTCAGTGAGAGAACTTGGAAATCAGAAATGAACACACAGTGGGAGATTTATTACAGGATTATGCCCAACACATGTCTAAGAGCACTGAGCCACACCGCAGCATGTTCCCATTTCCGAGAAATGTCCACTTTTTCTTTTTAAATGTGCTGCTGTACAAAATAATCAGATTTAAAGCTGCTTTAACACTATTGTCTCATACAGATCTCAAGGAAAAGCTCTAAACTCAGACCTCATCAGTGGGTGGTGAATGTCATTGCAGGCCACTAAAAGCCTTCTAAGTCTTGAATTTCTGAGCTGTAAATAAATAGTTCAACATGTTAGCAATTCATTTCTTGAAGGATGTTTCAGATGCTCAGTTTTAAAATCAAAACGACTAGAGAACTAGAAGAATTGAAATATTAAAAACTAGATGGATTTTAGGGAACTAAACAAAGTAGAAAGAATAGGATTGCAAAGCTTATTAAATAACAGCAAACTTAAGAATATGAATATAAATAGGTCAATTTAAATGTCATTTTAACATGTCATTTTAAGTGCAATATACCAACAGAGCTCTAACCATAATTTTGAGTTAGGTTAAACAAAGATATGATGATTGAACATTGATTATTACTGATGACCCTGAGTGAGGAGAATAAACTTTTAATTGCCATAATATTTAATTGCTCTGTTAGAGGAATTTTTCTGCAAGATATCAAATTTACACAATTTTCCACTTACCCCATATGTAGTAGATCGGCTAAGAAACGTTTGTAGTCCAAATCCTACTTCTTTAGTTTGGGACTGTAGTGGTGAGGCTAACAATGCTAACAAACACTAGAACTCAATAGTCACCCAAACAGCCCACATCATTTCTGTAAAAAAACATTCTCACAACTTCTCTCAATCTAGGTCTTTTGTTAAGGTGGGGTGGACTTGTCGATGTGGTTTAGGACACAGTATGACTTACTGTGAACTATAAAAATGAACAAACTGTGGGCAACCACTTTAGACAATAGACATCTGTATTCACAAACCACATCAGGAGTAGGAGTGCTGATCTATAATCAATAAATAGTGACAATGACCATAAATACAGAGGAATCTGATCTAAGGTCAGTCCTGCTTTGTGAATACAAGCACTAATGTTGTCTGAAATGGTTGCCTGGATGTGGTTTGAGCAAGTTGAGAAAGGTTTTGGGAAAGTATTTTTAGAGAAATGGTTTGGGCTGACTATTGAGTTCTAGTGTTTGTTAGCAACATTAGCCTCATAGCTCCCTTTCTCTACACTAAAGAAAGCAAAATTTGGACTCTAAGCATGTCTTGGTTGATCACCAAAACTTAGGGTAAGTTGAGAATTATATAAATTAGATTTTTTGCCAAACTATTCCTTTAAGACAAAGTAATTTGGGAAATTAAGTATTTAATAGTAATTCATACTGCATAGTTAACATTTAGAAAAGTCTGATCTTTAAGATCACAAAGACAACGAAGGACTGACATTTTCTTAGATGAAAATGTGCTAATTTAACTTCTCCAACAGCAGATTGCTGAAAGAGTAGTGGAAATGCAGATCTTACTAAACGAGAGTAATAAAAAAAACTTAAACCTAACCCTGGAATGCAACTTTAGAGAACAAATACAGAGCAGTAGAGAACACTGGTTCTATATTAGGCCCAGGATAGTGCCATGTGACATCAAAAGGAATCAGTATGAGCTTTATACGAGGACACGATAAAGACTTAGGAAATGAAACAATGGCTTGCTGATTTGTAGACATAAACATAATTAGAAAAGCATGTTTCACACAAACTCTTAGAAAATTACATGTATTTCACATGAATAAACAACTTTTGTACGCTTTACATGGTAAAAAAGTGTTATCACCCGTGGAAAAAGTGTGTGCACAGATTCATATAAAAAAAACGTGATTACTTGTAAACACGTGTGGTTTTTGTACACTTCTCATGTGAAACACATGTGACTTTTCTGCAAGAGAAACCAGGGCAAACTTGGTGGATCTTTCTGAGAATGTTTTGGTGGGAATCTTTCTACAGCTTCGTATATAACCAGCACACAATAAGAAGGATGCATGATGCCATATACATACAAGAGTTCCCACAGCTGAATAGGGCCTCTGTGCTTGCTCTCACAAAACTACAGCAGAGCCCTCACAACAAAGACACTGCTGAGCATGACTGGGTTGCCTATTTAAATCATTAGGCACCATACAGTCAGGAGCCTATTCTGAAACCCCTCTCTGTTCTCCACACTCAGTTCATCAGAGGAAGATTCCACCACAAACTGAAGCTAAATCTTGTTTTGACCTAGTGACGCCACAGTTAGAAAGAAAACAATTATCCATGGTGCAATGCTCCATGCTATTGAACACACAACAAACAAAGCTGCTTCTTGAGTCAGCAATATACTGTCATTACATCTGACACTGGAATCCATAGAACAGCTGCAACAGAATCCTAATTTTACCTTTAGACTGGAACAGCACGAGGTCCCTCTCACTGATGTGGGCCCATTTTCTGGTGACCAGCTCTCCTTGCTTGGTACGTCCATCCTTTTCAGGAAGGTCTCATTTTCCTTGGCTGAACTTTCCTTAATGAAATTTCTTGCCATTGATGCATGTACACCTGAAAAAAAAGACCATGGGACTTTTTTCATTCCAAAGAGCTCCATTCATTGGTGCAAATACAAGGGGGCAGAGGGGGCATAACCTTCCCATTTTTTTTAATTATGCAAGAACGTTTTTTGGGAAGGTAGCAGGATGGTTGTTGAAAAAAATATTTTTCAGGTATATCTATAATAATATTGATAATATTGCATTATCATTAGCAGCTAAAACAGATGGTGTATGCACAAGAATGCCCCAGACACACCAAAACAAGTCTATGTCACAGTGTGCAGCAGTGCTTAGCATGGGTGTCATCATATGCATGCCAATATTCATTTTTTTCGATACGATGGCTATAAGATGATACCTGCTGTGAATGAAATACGGTTAGATTTGATACAATGTGTAATGGTTTCTATGGTTCTTTTTAACACAATCCATGATATCCTAAAAGTCATAATGAAAAAAAAAAAACACTCAGAACTGGAAAAAACTGGTTTGGTTAACCTACCTTGGATAGTTCATTAAAGAAACTCTCTGAAATTGTGAGAGAGAGCAAGCTATCTTCCTAGCATCCATCTCCTTTTTGGAAACAGTTGAATGCAATAATGATGGGACAAAGAGTGGTAGACTGAATGGTGATAGTTACTTGCTTGTTACTGGAGTGAGAAATAATGCAAAGCTAAAGTTAGGCAGCTTCTCATTTGAATTTTCTGCTTGATCTTAAAAGGTGGATTTAAGGTGAAATGGAAAAAGAAGCTGGCAAAGAGGAAGCCAAGTCATACCTGTACATCCCTGGCACTTAGTCAGGCAGGTAGCCTAACAGCTAACTTCATTGCCTTTTATTTGTATCAAAGTTAATGGATTATTATCTGCACTACAAAGTGTCCACATATGTAATTCCTGTTAACAATAACGTTTGTCTTTGTATTTACTAATGACAAATAAAGCATTAGATATCATAAGAATATGGTAACTCAGCATACTTCATTTACCTAGTTTTATGTATGTAATCTGCAAGTTGCATGCGTTGCTACTAGAGATGGCATATTGGTATTGATGGGGATCAGTATGGGGCGTTTAATAGCAGAGAGGGTTTGATCGGATATCTGAGGGAAAAAGAAAAAATCCAATCCAGTGATCCATTTTCAATGCTTAGTAGGTAAACGGAAAAGTGGTATTGTGTCATCTCTAGGTGCCAGCATTGTTTGTAGGTTGCAGTCTATCGATGTTGGAGACGTTTATAAAACAAATGTATCTGCACAAAGTTTGGAAAGAAAAATGACCACCCTTATTAGAAAAATAAAAATGTGTTTTCCATTATTCGTCAACTGTTTTTCTTTTCAAAATGGTTACAGATGGATGTGCAGCATTTTTGAATAAAACTCTGTTTTTCAATTATTTGGCTTGAAGGGAAATTCCATTAATTTTTCAAACTTTCTGCATAAAATGAGTTGTTAGGATGTAAATACAGTTGTTCAAAGTTGTTTGATGTGAAATGTTTTGTTCTAGAGAAACTCCCTCAAGGAAAACTATTACATGAAATGACAAGTACATTGTATGATGCTTAAGACATTGATTAGTGAGAGCTTTTGAAAAGGGGTTTGCCTAAACTGTATATAAAAAAAAGAAAAAAATCATGGTGGAGGGGTACATGCAGGGCATTACAAGGCAAAATAGTCCTCAAAGAAAACATATTTTTTCAGATTTACCATTATTTCACCATAATAAACATTACAGATAAAGACTCAGAAGACACGTGTAGGTTCACTGTTTGTTTTGGATCATGAATAAAGTCACTTTATTTGTGCTGTATATACTGTGAGCCCAGGTTCCTATCACCACCACTGTAAAGACATTTGAGTCGGTAAGTCTCTCTACAATTAACTATTTCACCTCATAACACTCTGAATGACTTTGTTTACATCTCAACCACTGAATTATGGAAAATTGATGGAATTCACCTTTACCTTTTCACCGAATGATGACCCAAGACATGTTTAATGTCTGAATTTTACGAGGCTAATGTAGTAGACTGTCATTTAAAAAGATTTCTAATACTTGTTTGCTACATTGGCCTCATAACACACTTTTCTTTATTATTATGGAAACAAAAACATGTCATATATTTTCCTAATCTAATTTTACTAATCAGTTTTAAGTAGTCCTATATATTAGCCTACTCCTTTGGCATATTTCTCTAACTAAACAATAAGCTGCTTGTTAGAATAAAAGGGCACTGAGAATGTACTGACGGCAAGGATAAGCCATGGCTTTATTTAAAAAAAAAAAAGAAAAGAAAGAAAGAAAGAAATCAGCATGACTGCTGTGTGTGTTGACCAGAGGGAAGAGAGTCTTCAAAAACATCATAGCTTTACTATCATTCTGAATGCTAGGCAGGTGATCAAAAAGCGAGATTAAGTTCATGACTAATACTACATTCATCAATAGAGTTATATTAAAAAAAAACATCCTCTTTATTAATTTATTTACTAAATTATTCATTACATGTCCTAATGTAGAATCTGTCAGTAAAATGAATTTCACAGATTTTTCAAAATATCTGCATAGTCACATCGTTAAGATGTAAACAAAGTCATTCAGGGTGGCTTGACATGAAATGTACCATTTTAGATAAACTTTCCCAGTGGCGGTGATTGAAACCAAATGCCTTAATGCCTTTAAAAGCTCCTTCACAGAGAGTTACTACATGAAATGGTTATGAATATGTTGCCTGACCCTTGAGACATTGCTTTACAATATTTTTGAGAAGATCTTGGCTTAAAGCGCACTTTAAAGACCATTTATAGTGGATGGGTACATGCAGGGTACATTCTAAGACAAACAGTCCCCCCAAAAAAATAGATTACCACTATTTTACTAATATTAACATTACATATAAAAACCCAGAACTGAATAGATTCACTAGATAGTAAATAAAATGTTGTTGACATTGTGACCCCTGGTTCACCACCACTGCAAAAAATCTGTGTGGTCGCTTAGCTCCCGTACAAGAACCATTTCACATCAAACCACTCTCAATGACTTCAGCAACTGAGTTACTTGAAATTTTTTTAAAATGGGTGGAATTCCCCTTAATGTTAGCAGGTGTGGAGTGGTAAACAGAGAAAAAGGCAAAGGCCAATAAGCGTGAATAAAGTAGATAAGTATTGGCTGTAATGCTATTTATCCTATCCCTCAATATCAAGTCGTCTTGAAAATAAGGCTGCAGTGTGCCAAACAGCACCGTGCTCTGCTGCATGCAACGATAGTAAAGTTTCAAATGTCTTATTCGAAATAGTAGGGCAGTGCGAGATATGAGGCCATCGGGCCGCAGGGAAACAGTCACGTTCGACGTGAAGGTAACCGGCTGGGGGCTGTGACGGGAGACAAGAGTGGAGCTAACCAGCGCACTCCGCTTAATTAGCCAATGTATATTAAAGCCATGCACTGCGCCTGCACTCGGACCAACCTACGGAGGACACATTTGCATAGCAGCATTATGCGCCGCAATACTGTATGCGCCCGAAATGTTTATCATTAGGAGAGGACGACATCTCGGTGACGTGGTTTAAATACCCAAGAAAGAGAGAAAATACTGAGGACGAATAGATGTAAAGGGAGACGGTTGAAAGAAACGTCAGTGAAACGACAGGTGATGTGTTTCACTGCTCCCGCATGGAAACGTGGCAGTTAATGTGAACGCGTAAAATGCGCACTGTCTGATCCCGCTCATGCGCGCCATACAAACAACGCACAAACAGCAGCTCACAGACAGACCTACTTTTAACGAGCCAGTGTTAGATTTCCTCAGCGCCGTCTCATCAACCCAGACAGATTTGAATGCCACGGCGTCTCCCAGCCACGAACAAGAGCAATTTTATTATACAAAATCTATTTTATTACTAAAAAATAAGAAAATCTTATTATTTACTTATGATTTTATTATGAAAATGAAAAAAATATATATTCGAATTTATTATGAAATAACCCACATTACTCACCAAAATCTCAAAGTGGGTGAATACTTGGTGCTCTTTCTATATAGTGTATCTGGGGCCTTAAACAGGAATATGGATGTGCAGGTCGCGAATCCCCAACAGCACCAAACGAGCCGGTGTGGACAGCAGCGCCGCGCGCCCCGCAGATGTCACACGGTCTTCAAGGAAACTTCCCATAGGGTTGCGGGCGAAAGGCGACTTGGACTCGGGAGTTGTGTCGCAAGGCTTTCGAGACACGTCCGGCTCGCTCAGTTTCAGGTCAGTTCGCGGTATTTTGGATGGTTTAATCTTTGACGTCAGTCTCGCAGGTTTTCACAACCTTCCTGCGAAACAGTTTCCAGCGTTTCAGCAAGCCTCTGGATGAACTGGCTTAAACACGTGATAACTCTGAGCGAGCGGAGGGCCGGGGGGGGGGCATGGGTTGTGGGTCCCGAACTGTTCAGATCCTGTGGTGGTGCGAGGAACGACAAAGAAAAAAAAACGGAAAAGAAACGGCGAGGAGCCCTTATTTAAGCGGCATCCCTATCTTGATAGCTTGAGGCAAACCGGCTTCCCTAGTGAAGGCGTCCCAGTGGCAGCGGAGCGGCCGTTCAGCAGACATTCAGTATAAATCAGAAAGGCGGTATCTACACATCAGGGACTCACCCCTGCACAGGAGATAAGTTCAGACCGCTCGTGTTGCTTCTGCACTCTGAGAGAGCATGTGACGATGACTGCGAGCTACAAACCTAGTCTGACGTCAGCGCGAAGAGCGAAAAGCGACAAGCGAGCGGCTCCTCTGAATGGCAAGAAAGAGCAGCCCTTTAAACCGACTCACCTGTAGCTGCGGTTCACATCGCTCTCATTAGTTCACTGTACTGTTCTCCGCTGTGGTCCAGAGGGGAACGTTGAGGGTCCTGGTTCTTCTCGTTGTTCCTTTTTTAGAGGGAGTTTTTCCCTCTCTGTCAGCCTCAGCCTGCTCTTTGGGGTTGCTTTATGTCTGTTAAAAACAGACAGATAAACACAATACAGTAGAAAACCTTTGTACAGTTGAAATCATCTCTGGTTAGTATAAGGAGACACTGCGCTTCCACTGCACTGTTTCCATGGAGATGAGTGCGGAAAACAACATTACCTGCATTTATTGGTTTTAGATTCATTTTCTTATGTTGCTATGTGTGACCCAATTATAAAGGTTCTCAAAAAGCTGTAAAATGCCTTTCTCTCCTTACCAAGATGGTGCATTGTGGCCAATTCATTCACCTCATGTCCACAAGCAGTAACTTCTCTTTAACCAAACATTAAACATAGCTGTCCAAAAATCATGTTCCTCCACTACGGCAAAAACGTTCTGAACTTTTAATGTAAGTCAATGTAAGGAGTCATTTTGGACCATTGCCTTTCACACAAGCACAGATACATGGTTTTGACATGATGGCAACAGCATATCAAAATACTCAAAAAAACTTTTGTTGTGGATAATCTAACCTCATGATGCACATCTGAAGTGTGTCTTAAACTATGTTTGTGGGTTTGTCACACTATGTACATAAAATCAAGCATATCATCTCCATACACAAACACTGGCTATAGAAAGGGTCATACTAAAGAGACTTTGTGTGGCACTGACATTGGATGACACCTTTCCAACAAGTCTACTTGTCAGATTTCTGTCCTGCTAGATCTGCCCCAGCCAACTGTAAGTGCTGTTATTGGTTAATGATTAAGTTTTGAGAAGGGTCTGGCTGCAGACATGCACTGCCAGCCTATTGATGACGTCAGTGCATGCTCTGCCACGACAGTGTTTTTGTCGGTTTTATGAGGGAAAAAAGAGAAACACTACTGTTGGGCAACAAAAGTTACACTGAACATATATATTAACATTGTCATACTGATAATAAGGTCATTAAATATGGAAACAAAATAAAACCTACCACAATGATAAGACATAAATGTTGGGTTTATTCGCAGAAAAAACAAAAAGGCTACTGCTGAAACTCATGAAAGCCATGCTGAAGATGATTAGAACCTGTTATCAAAAACTATATTGATTAGAATAGAACTTGTTAAGGATTCTAGGAGGTTGTGACGATGTCAGTGTAGTACCGATTATTTTTGCTGCCTCGGCAACGTTGTCATAACCTCCTAGACAGTTGTCAGACAACGTTGTTTAAGTTTCTGAGGAATTACATTTCAACGTTGTGACAACATAGAAAAGGTGGGGTGGTGGTGGGGTGTGAAAACTTAACCACAGGAAACCTAAGATAGCACTAGGAAATTTATATAATGTTAGATTTTAAGCTTTTGGCATTGTCTTCCAAACTTTAGGTATTCCATCACTATACTACAATATATATTATAACCCCAATAGAAAATGTTTTTAAAATGATTTTCATTCAGAATAAATGAATAAGCACCACTATTTGCATTCCCATATCTCAAATGCTACTGCAAGCTGGGAGGTGCTAAACTGAATAAGTGGCTGTACAGAAACCTTGAAAGCTTTAGCTGGAGCACTATTTTACCTTGACCAAACATGCAAGATGTCCTTATAGCTGTTTTAAAGACGTCCTGTAAATTTTTTTGCCTCATGAAATCAATGACATCATAACATCAGTTAGTGCTTTTGCCTAACCCCCTAGAACACTCTGCACTTTCTGTCCTAATCTCTTTCCTCCTATCACAACCAAGCTTGAGATGCACGTTCTAACCTCTGTATTTTTATTTACATGATATAGTAAGACCATGCTGGGCTAATTGCAAGGACAAGCAGTACTACTGACAAAGATGTAGGCAAAAATGCACACACATCCTACTTTGTTACCTCACATCTTCTAACTTTACTGGAGAAAGCACTCCTTGTGAGGCCCGAGACTATGCATCCATCATTATTTGTAAAAAGTGCTTAGAATTGAGGAGAGAAATGACCAGTTGATTTGAGGTATTCCAGTTGATTGTCAGGGTGTCGCTACATGGTTATTATGGTCTCCCAGGTGTTGTAAGGTGGTTACTATGTATGACATATGGTTCATTGGGTCATAAGAGTGTACTTGTATCATCCTGATACAAGTGGGATGGACAAACGTTCGCCCCTATTCATTCCTATGGGACAAAAAATTGTCATTTATCAAGCATTGTATAAAAAAACCCCACAAAACCAGTAAAAAAAGCTGCATACAAGCACACCATTCCCAGGCAGACCCAGAGTTGGAACAGTGTCGATATCTCAAAAAACATAAGACGATCTTACATGGTGCAGCTTTACAATAATTACAAGTACAATATTAGTTGTTTCATCAAAGAATCAGTGTTACTTAAATCAAGATCATTAAATGCTTTGAATCGTGTGCTAGGTCTGAAGGTGAGCTTGTGCTTTTGAGGCATGAAGCATACAGCATACATAGTTACTGTGTTAAAAAGGTAAACTATAGAATGAATGAATACATGAGCTAATTAGTGAATTGGTGCTGGGCTTTGCATGGGTCACTAACAGCTGAAACTCTCCACACACATCTCCTTTACTGCCTCCCACTGCAATTAATCTGATAGACTTTCTGTTGAGATCAGAAGATGAGAACAGATTAAGCTTGGATGAAGAGAAGACACAACAAGAAAGCTCAGAGCTTTGGCAGTGGTGGTAGTCATGTGTGAAAGAGACATGTCAGTTGGCCCACTGATGCATCAGTTCTCTAGGAACTCTCTTGTGAATGCTGCTGGACCTTGAAGTATGAATGATATTTAATATCTCAAGCCCCCAAAAAAGTACACTGCTGCCAGAGTCGCCACTAATCTTATTCTTGCACTAATTCTGTCATTTGGAAGTCTGATTCAGAACATTGTGCCTGTCAGCATTATAAATCTATGGTTTTAGGCAAATCCACAACTAATGAGTTCAAAGCAACACATCTCTCAAGTCCCACTCATAATCCACTTACATAAGAGTTTTCTCCATTCTTCAAGAACAGCCATCCAACGTGAAAAATAATCATAATACATTAGCTGAACACATACTAAAATGGGCATATTGCTGTGACAACTGGGTAATTGAACATTTTTACAGATTCTACAAACGGACTCAAAAATCAAATCTCTTAATTTCAGTCTCTTGATTCATAAAACTATGCTTTTGCATAAGCCTAGATATAAAGTGGGAATTCTAGAAAATATGCATTTCTTGCTACAAAATGGTAAAATACACCCCCCTGCCCCCAACACATTCATGCTGTACTCAAGTTTTCCAAACTCTCAGCACATATCATATTCATGAAACCTCTTTGCAAAATATTACATTTTTGTTACTTTTTAGTCAGGATATTTTCAGTTTTAAGCTGGCTTTACACAGTTAAAATTACATGCAACTTTAGTTGCTTCAAACCTACATGAAACTGAATTGCATAATGCATCCTGCAACTAATTTGAAACTCAGCTGCAAGCATGTTGACACTGTTCCAACTCCGGAAAGTTAGGTCTGATTGGGAATGGTGTGCTTGTATACAGCTTTTTCACTGGTTGTGTGGTTTTCGTACAATGATTGCTAAATGACACTTTTTTGTCCCATTGGAATGAATAGGGGCAAAAGCTTGTGCATCCCACTTGCATCAGGATAATACAAGTACACTATCATGACCCTATTAACCACACAGCATACATAGTAAATTACATGAAACCTTTGCTCGAAACCTACATGAAACTAAATTGCATAATTTGTCCTGCAACTCATTTGAAACTCAAGTTTCATGAAACAGCTAATCAAAACAGCAGTAATGCATCTCATGATCACATTGAATGACCTCCTTTCAAATGATTAAATATCAAAGGGCAATAAAATAACAGAAGATTTATTGGCTGGTTGAAAATGAGAATTCCCTCAACTGACTTAAGGTTGGCAGTGTTTCAACTAGCCAGTTAATGCTAACAGCCATTTAAACAGCTGCTTGTGCCACGGATTATTTTTTGTGAATCTGCTGTTATCGTGATCTATGTAGCTAGATTCATTTTCTCCTTTTTGATGCACAGAGAGCTCAGATTCATTTGGGATCTAAATGATGAGAATTATGAATTATTACCGAAGAGAAGACTGAGATGTGCTTCTCAATGAACTTGTGCTTCTAGGACAGGATGAGCAAGACATCAAGTAGGCTATAAATGTAATGACTACTTAAACATTTATTTTCTAAGGCTTAACATGCACAACACAACAGCAGAAAAACATTTATAGTAAAGAACCCTAGACAGCGAGATAAAAGACAGATATAGAAAAAAAAAAACAGCAATGACGGCTTAAAAAAATATAAAGATGATAACAGTGCTGCAAATGTGCAACACATAGTTGATGACTATACAGCAAAACAGCACGGTGTCTCAAAAATTTGCTAATGCTAATTTGGCTAACTAGTGGAGTGATCAAATGTATTGCTTTATTTTTAAAATGCTTCTTGCAACTGTCAAGTTGCATGGAAATTATGTAGCATTAAAGTTTCAGGCTGGCTTTTTCAAATTATTCTGAGCTGTTTTGAATCTGAGCTCTGCGTAAAATTAGGGGGCATCAAAAGAGGAGAAGATGAATCTAGAAAGAGATAACAGCAGGATGAGGAAGAATACATGGTAGCACAAGCAGCTGTTTAAACAACTGTTAGCATTAGCTGACAAAAGTAAAAATTACCAACTTTGCATAAAGTCCATCAGAAGGGTTTCCTTTCAACAGCCCAATAAACCATCTTTTGTTTTATTTTCATGTCCATTAATCCCATAAAATCAATCATTTGCAATGATATCGTTTGACATGAGCATATGACTCGCTATCAGTGTATTGATTGGATGCTTCATGAAATTGAGGAGCTTGCTTAACTTGCTGTTGTGGTGAAGGTTCTAATGAGTTGCAGGACGCCTTACATTAAGCAACTCAAGTGCAACTTAGTTTCATGTAGGTTTCAAGCAACTGAAGTTGCATGAAAGTTCCACTGTGTAACGTTAGCCTTGCATGGATCTACACAACCCAACTCAACCACAGCTTATGTTCTTGTTCTGGTTCTTCCTCCCATCACAAAGTTGTTACCTGTAAACCTGTGGTGCACCATATGCTTCACTGGCTGATTCTTGTCTCTGGACACTGCATGCAAAACATGTATTTTTAAACCCAAAATAAAAAGACACACACAATACCACAGCATTTAACACATTATTAAACTGTATTCACATTACAACATCCACAATTTCAGCTTGTGACAAGTTCTAATAATATATATTTACTGTATAATACATTATACCAAGAGGCACTTCCAGCATTTCTGGCCATAGAAGGAGCTACAGTTTAGTGTCTAAATTACAAAACAGTAAAAATAAATAAAGTTTATCCAAAAGACATTTGTCATTTTTTTCCTTTTCGGCCTCCTCCCTTTATACCTGTACAGCATATTGTTTTGTACAAAATGGAACCATAACCAGCAATAAAATGAGTATTTCACTTAACGAATACTGGTGAATTACACAGCTCCCTTTTCTATAGGTATTGCTACATGTATTAAGTGCAACATACTAGTGAGAAGAAAAATAATTATTTAGTCAGTGAGGTGCCCACTACATATAAAAAAGTACAAGTCTCATTTCTCATTTTGAGAGAGGTGTAAAGCTTGTTTGTTACTTTTGGTGAAAGAAAAGAGTGCCCAGTGACTACAGTTAGCAGATGCATATAGGTTAAGACATACGGGCTGGCAATAGCTACAGAGTGACATAGGCCAAACCAGCTAGGAACAGGAATATGAAGAAAATATAGATTAAGAATGACAATGAAGGAAGAACTATACTTTTTGTAAAAGGCGTATTCTTATGTTTCCTATGTTCTACAACTCTGATGATGCGCCTGACAATGCCTCTCTACCCAAACTGACTGTTGTGACTTGGAATGCAAAGAGGTCCTGATGGATGAATGTGGCGCATTTGTTTAATTTTACCCCAGTGCCTGAGTGAGCGAACTATTGCACATCTCTGGAACACACATGGAGATATTCCAACAATACAGTAGGCTTGGAGGCTACAAAACACCCTGAAATGCCATTCCCCCCAATGTACGTGTTGTGGAATGTACACTTAGCCGCAGAACGATTAAAGCAAGCAAAAATACAGCAAATCAGAAAGAAATGTGCCAGGATGTTCCGTATGATGCACATAACGACAGAACAAAAATACAAGAGAGAAGCTTGACTGTTCTGATTAAACTGAAGGCCAAACAGTGGGATGAGGGCCATCAGAAAGAGAGATGCATGCAGTACAACACAGCTGTGTGATGGCAACAAAAACACACAACACTATCTATCTCTGTCTAATCACATGAGGAAGCCATGGATTAAAATGTTGTGGCCAGACTTTTTTCAGCAGCCTATTAAACTGTCTAATTCCCCAGTTCTGTCAAGTTTCTTTTGATGCTCTAATACAAAGTGGTGGATATACAATGGAAAAGAGGGGCTTTGGCTATTATGTTAAGGAGGAATTCCACTCATGTTTCTGATTTCTTTTTTTTTCTGCATAATTATATTGTTACGGTGTAAACAAAGTAATTCAGAGTGGTTTGATGTGAATCCTCAAAATGCTACAAAGAAATGGAAACTGTTCCAAACACACTTCCTGATGCCTGAGACATTGTTTTTCAATTGTAGGCTTCAAATATATTTTTAAAATCCATTCATGGTGGAGAGGTACATGCACAGTGTTATGTGGCAAAATAGTCCACAAAGAAAACTTATTTTTTTAATTTACCACAATTGTATCATAGTCAATATTACAGATAAAAAACTCAGAAGACACATGTAGTTGTAGCTGGTGGTTTTGGATAGTCACAAATGGCTATATTTGTGCTGTAGACATAGGGTCATAGTGACCCCTGTTTACTATCACCACCACTGTAAAAAATCAAGTCAGTAAGTCTCTACAATGAACCATTTCACATCATAACACTCTGAATGACTTTGTTTACATCTCAGACACTGAATTGGGGGGAATGGGGTGAAGGTTTAGGGGTAGCATAGGTTAAAGCATAAGCATACGTGAAACAGGCACTGATTCTACTGAACAGGCTTAAGAAACACATGGCTTCTTGCTTGTCTACTTAAAACAAGAAGGCCCTGTTTCTCAAAGCTATGGTTAATTGTTACGGCTTACTATTTTTAATGTTCTCTCTCACACACACACACACACACACACACACACACACACACACATATACACACACACACACACACACAGATGTATTGTTTGAACCACGACTGTTCAGTAGGCCATCGCTGACTTAACTGTCATAGTTTTCCATTTCCCAACATTAAGTTCCTCCAAAACAAAGCAAATAAAAACATGACCCATTTAAAGCCTACAAAATGTAGCCGACGTTCTGACAGTTCCACTGCTGCATACTTTGAATGAAATTATAGAAACATTTTGAAGTCATATATGGCACACATAACAGCATGGTGTTAGGAAAAAAAAATAAAGTATAGAAATAATAAAAAAAAAAAGCTGTGACCTACTTCAGAATATGATAGCATTCATAAAAAACACCATCAGTCTACAGAACGTGTCAGTATTGCTTGAATAATTCATAGGATTCTTTTGGATTCTGCTGTGCTGGCCGCTGCTACTGAGGCCTACACTGAACTGCAAATGAAGTCGAGATTTCAAAAAAAGAGTGAACGCTGGACTGAACTGACATATATGACTAATGCCCAATTCCCACCTCCCAATCCCACATTTTTAATTGGCTTCTCTTCAAAGTTATGCTGCGGCAGTATCGGGCACGGGCTGATAAGGCCTGTAGAAGACATGTTACCTCTCCCTGTTCTGCATTCAGAACCAATCTGCCTCTCCTTGCACATCAAAGACAGTATAAGCAGCACATAACGGTGCTGTGGCTCTTTGTGGTGCATGGCTCCATGTCTCAAGCGTGTGCAGCTCCCATGGGGTGCTGTATTTGGCATCTCTTAGCTGCTCACATGCCTGTGTGCATGACTAGACTGCCTCTAGGACATGGCTGCTACTTGGACAGCTGGAGCATGAGTGGTCCTCCTTGTTTAAAAAGAGTGTACGACTGCAGGGACTGTGAGAGCTCTTCACTTGCTCTTTGGCCTCCAGGCACATCTCGTCACATTTTTTGTTTTTGATTACCATAAGTCATTAGAGATGGTTACGAGTAATGTCTTGGTGCATATGTACCACATGTGTGAGAAAAGAAGAACTATACCAGTATTTAGAAGCACCTTTACAATGACTAAGATTCTACAGTTAGAAAAGCGCTAGTCAAATAAGAGTGTTGGATTGAAGACATGCTCTGGAACGGAGTGGGATCAGTTCAGACATTAGCTTGTCCATGAACGAGCACTTAGAACGGGCAGTTAGACTGCATCCATCACTTAAGAATCATACACATGTAATTGAAAAAGAGCTGGGAAGTAGAACCATAAATTTCAAGGTGCTATGAATAGAATTGTGTGTATTAAACTATCTTGTGAGACATTTCCCTGTAGAAAATAGTGAGGTCTTTGAAGAAATCAGTTTAGCACATAAAAACAAGCAATTTCCTTTCACCCCACCATTGTGCACTGGCAGAAAACAAAAAGAGCAAAAGGTTACACAATATTTACAATGTCATTTCTCCTGAGGAACAGGACTCAGGTCAGAAACTAAGGAAAAGGTACCAAGAAACAAAAGCCAACTGGCAATTCAAAATAAAGCAGTGTAAAATGCAGCAAGCACACCCTCTTGGAACATTCACTATTGTGGCATTGCAGGTGGCCAACTCGGGGGAATGTGCTACCTACCTCCACAGACAAACAAGTGGCAACTAAAAGAAAAGGTGTTGGACTTCTTCTCGCCATCCTAGTATCCATCTTCCTCAATTTGATACCAGGCTCTTCAGAAAATGCTCATTGAAATGAATGGCCTAAAGTGCAGGTCACTGAGACCCCTGTCATGGAGGTTAAGTGGCACTTCAGCACTAAGTTGCAGTGTGGGCACCACCAAAAAAAACCTGATCAAGGTAATATGTAAAAAAAATTCTATATATTTATAAGCATTTATATATGAAATTTCATGCTGTTCTATGCCCTGACCTTTAGTACCACCCCCTACTGTTTTGGACCTGGTGAAGTAAACCCCATCCCAAGACACTCAGATCTCTCCCACCCTGTTTCCTTTAGGCACATGTTCCCCTAAAGCATCTACAGTGTTGTGTCTAAGTGATGTGCTGGCAACCATTAATCAGGAGTCTTGTTTGGAAACAAAAGCATTCTGTCAATTCTCTCAACTCTAACAGACTATAAGTCTCTCTCTCACCCTCAATCTCCCTTGCTCTGTTCATCTGAAGTCTCATCCCATTCCTGCATTGCCTCTCCCACTTTTTCTACAGTTTCTGTGTCTTGATTTACAGTCTCCTGGTCTTTTCTGACCAGTGTCTCGTGCTCTATTGTCTCGTCAGTCTCTTTAGTCTGTTCCTCTATTTGCTCCTCTTCTGTTGGCCCCATCTCCTCCTCTCCTTCTGTATCTTCCTCCTTGTCATCCGCCAGCTCCTCCTTGCTTCCTGTCTCCTCTTCCTCTTCATGAATGGCCAGAATAGGCTCAGAGGCATTGTTGAGGCACGAGGACTCTTTCTCCTCTGTTTGGCTTTGGGCCTCCTCAGCAATCACCTTCTTCCACATGTCATGGTTCTCCAAAAGGTGCTGCATGATCTGACAGAAGACCTTTCGTCGCTTTTTGGGCATCAATTTCTCTGAAATAGGTGACAAAAGTATTAACTCCAAATTGCAACCACTTGTAAAGCTGAAAAACATCATTAGACTTCAATCCTAATCCTTTAATCCTTACAAACACAAACTGAATGGACACAAACAAAACATACGAGACTGCTCCGAACTGGTGGAGGCATCTTCCTCAGTTGTATCCTCATCTTCCTCGTCAGTTTCCTCCACACCAGTTCCTTCTTCAGCCTCATCATGCAAATGCTCCACCCACCGGCCTGGCATGAGGGCTGCTGTGTCATAGGAGCTGCAGAGTGGTCCAACGATGTGCGTAATGAAGGACTCTTGCAACTTGGCCAGTTGAGGTGCTGAGCGATCCATGAAGGGGCTGATGGGTAATCCCAGACTGGCCTCCTCATCACCCTGATTAAACAAATTAATGAATAGTTACATGAGATAGATCAGAGGTAAAAAAACATAAGGCCCTAAGAAGACACAGAACTCTTCTTTGAACTCTCTCATGCCTATTATATGATGAACTTTTTATGATTTTTTAAATTAATAAGCATTTATACAAAATATATATATTTTTTAGATTTGGATGTTTTGTATCCTTTTGCCTGTTTTGTAAAATGGAAAAAGGTTTCCAGATTGTATATTAAAATATCACATATGCATAAGTTGATAATCAAGCAAAATACATCCAACATCTGGTGTCAGATTTCATACAAGAATTACATGTCATCAAAGGAATAGTGAATGGAGCAATGCACCAGGATACATGCACCAGGAGCATTTAATCTCATCTGCCAAGAAACTGAATCTGAGGAGAAGATGGTTGCTTCAACAAGACAGCAACCCCAAACATACAGCTAAAATAACTTAAGACTGGTTTCTAAAAAGAAGGTGAAGGTGCTTGGATGGTCTAGCCAATCTCCATCAGACCTTCATAACTAATCTAATTTTTAAACCTTTTAACTCTTTGTTTATGCTTTTGAACACATATGTTTTTGATCCTTTTTATAAGTACAAAGTCAAAAACATTGGGTATTTGACATTTGAATTGGATATATGCACTGTAAGTATATTAAATGACAAAAACAAAAGCAGTCTGTTTCCCCTATGTTATATATAAACCCCTCAGCTGCATTGTTTACCTACCATTTTAAAGTTTATCATAACATCTTCACATATGGATGATTACAGTGAAAACGTTTGTCTGCATTTCAGCATTTAAGACATTTAAAAAGATGCAAAGACATTTAAAGATGCAAAATAATCATTTGATTCAAAGTCTGCTGTTATTGCTCTTTAACTAGAATGACCTGTGTGGAATAGATGAAAGAAATCAGTTACTGAAACCACAGCATGGTCTAAACATTGACACATTTGAGGAACCACATCAGTATTGAATTTTTCCAGTTCAGGAGAATAACATATCTCATAGCTGTAGTGCTGCTCTAAAAGTAGGTCAACCTTCCCACGGAGGGGGCGGGGTGGTTGTGGGGGGCGGGGGTGCCTCATGTTAGGAATCAGAAATTATCTATGGTTAATAAAGCATCAGCAGCATTACCTAACAATATATATATATATATATGCTTTATGACATCAGGATATAAACAATAAGAGCTGAACCACAGCTGTCTAGGCCTCTTGTTGCCATGGCAACTAGTGGTAACATCACTCAAAGAACCATGCATGTGAGCTTTTTTTCTCTCAGGTGCTGGAGGAATGAATCACTCAAGAAACGGAGAGAGAGAGAGAAGGTGAGAGAGAGAGAGAGGGAGAGAGAAAGAGAGAGAGAGAAAAAAAATTGCATTCTGCAACTTTTGGCCCCTTTTGAAATGGTCTGAATACAGCCTGTAGCGGTCATGTGACAGAGTTCTCTAACGTAGTGAAGAGGTCCTGACACAACTGGGTCATCTTCTCATCTTCTCTTTGCTCTTCACAGCTACAGACACAACGCCTTTATCTCACATGCTGCCTACTCAAATAGACTGTTTCCTTTTTGAGGGACATTAAATAAATAAAACATGAGAAATGACTGGTTTTAATGACATGCAAAACCAGGCATGGCTGCACTTTCAGAATATGTGGCAGATACGGTTTTGCAATTTACAGCTTGACTCAGACCTGTGCATAGTTGGCTATTACATCAATACAGACATGTGGCTGCTACAACATTAAGTGTTTTGATCGCTGCTCATTGCTGTCAGCATTACAGCTATGAAGCCATTATCTTCAGAACTGCTGAGGAGAAAATGGCTGGTTGCCAGGAAACAACATGTCCTTGTTTCTCTGCAGCCACTCAGGGTCAGCATTACATAGGCGCCAACCGGTCGCTGAGGATTTACATTTGTATTATTCCACCAATCACACAGGCTGTTACTGGGAACCTGAGGCACAGTCGCTAAGCTTTCAGTCAGTATTAAAGTTCTGTGACAGGTACAGGAAACAATACTCTTACTGAACAGTGCATACATGACAGCAACACAAAGGAAAATACTATTATTCTACTACATATTATTCAGGCATTGCACACCTGTTCATAGAATTCATTCACAATGCCCTCCGTCCATTGAAGATGAAGATCTTTGTGCTTCAGTGGCCCATTAATGTCCGCTAGCTTGATACACATCTGGCACACCAGGAGTCGGTCATTCTCGTTTGACCAGTCGATACCTGAGCAACCTTCATGCCCCACCTGTATTAAAATGATAAGGTTACCTTTAAGTTGAACATTTTTTTTAGGATAAGGATCTGTAGTGAGGTAAGGTAATTTGTCACCTTAGCGTTGAATTCTGCCAAAAAGTCAAAGTGCTTCTTCAGGTCTGTGGCCAGGATGGCTTCAATCACCAGAAAACGGAAGCGCTTGAACTCTACGTGGTCCAGGTTGGCCAGGAAGTTGTACTCAGACCGAGACATGAAGAGATTCCAGGCAGAGGCAGCATGGTGATTCTCCAGAACTGAACGGTCATTGTACAGCACCGCCTACACAAGTCAGGCAAATTCATATTAATGCCCATGGTTTTGTAATGGGATGTCTAATAAGCTCATACAGGTGTGATGGTCCACATACTTTGGCCTTATTGTGTAATAAGCTTGTATTTGTCTCCCCTAACTAGAACTAAAGTGCTGTCTCCTGCCCCATTTAATGTAGCTAATGTTTTGGGTCTGAGAAACGTTCCTTGCTGGAGTTCAATAATCATCCCGTGTCAGATCACCGGGAATTAAAGAGCTCCAAGTGGTGTAATCAGGTGGAAACGAATCAAACTTGAGACACAATGCCGAAGTCATTCAAGGTCAACTGGCCCCACTGTCACTGTTGTTTAGAAGGAAGGGCACTTTTTCTATTTTCCCTGTCAATTTATAGTGATGTTAGCCGCAAGCCTATTGCAGACATTTAACATATGCCAAATTGAGTGGTTAGCATTCTCTTCTTGTGTTTAACTATTCTGTGATGTGATGTAATATTCAAAATTATTTTGGTGTATAAAGAACAGCTATCTGAAGACCTTATCCTTACAGGTCAATGTATAGGCTTCACTGGATCACGTGAATTACAGAAATGGTTGTCATGGAAACAGTAAATGGCATCAGATTGTCTTTGTAGGTGAATTCATAGTAGCATCCACCTATTTTTTTTTTTTGTTGTGGGCAAAAGGCTTTGAGATGTCACATTAACTTCAGAGGCAAGACGTGCTCACTGTTAATGTAGTGCTCTTCATATATGCTAACAGACCACCAATATGGCAGAGAAAAGAACCCGTCAAGGGAAAAAACTCATTCTAGACTATTCTACTGAAGTCTTTAAAGCCCATATCCTACATTTCTACATCTACATGTATTAGAGTTTTCTCTGACATTTGTTTGGTTTAATGTACCAAAAAACAGTCATTTTTCATTTTTACACAAGGTCCAACCTCTCTTTATCCCTTCGAATTAAATGGGCTGCTTTTTGTTTCTGTGCCTTTAAGAGTGATGCGTGTAAATTACTTCTGCTCTAATTATTCTGTTTTGTGCCTTATTCAAAAAGCAGTCCTGACCGAAACACTCCTTATAACTTCAGTATGTTTTGGGGGGGTTAAATTGTTATAGGCTGAATAGGTGGACACGCACATATTACGGCTTTTCATGACAATGAATAATGAATTTGGAATAAGCTGTTTTTGCAGTTTAGTTTCCATATATGACCTGGACAGGGGACTGAATGATATGTTTTGAAACTTCAAAAGTATTTTCATACTACATCAAGTTATTTTACGACACAAAGTAAAGAAAATTTGGTGTTCCACCATATGGGGCCCTTTAAATTTCAGTCTTCAGTCCCCTGTCGCCAAATATAATTTCCTTCCTTACAAGTTCTCAGCTTTTCGATTTTGAAATTGATATGTGTTCAATAACCATTTAATAAACACAATATTCTGCCTGTATGTTTTTGTTCAACAGAAAAGGGTTTCTGCAATGTTCTTGTTCATATATCTATTGGTGGTTTCATTTGTTAAGCTGTCCTACCTGCGGAGCACTGGTAGCCACCAGGAAGGCATTGGTTCTACCAGGATGGTCATAATCATGCATGGCTGCTGCCACATACAGGGCCATCAGCTCCAGGGCAGGAATGAGCCCTGAGAGACAGCCATAGCCATCCTCCATTTGTGGGTAGGTTTTAGAGAACACGTAACCCATGTGACCATGAGTAATCCCACTGACAGAGTCTACATGGTGAAAGGAAGGATAATTAGAATATATAGCTTGATAAGTGCAAGCATTACAACTGAGTACTCTCAGCTATGATTTATGAGCAGGGAAAATTGTCCTACACTGACATAAAAAGCATCTACAGCATCACATCACAGTCAAAGTGGTAAATATTCTTACCTGACTCACTGACTGATCCAGAGTTGTGGCCCAGTGTAGGCAAGCCAGGCACAGCCTGCGTGGTTAGATACCAAACGGCATGAAGGACGTCTGTAGCATGGATCCTGTTATGATCTGGAAAGGAAGATAGAATATGCTACTAAACCCAGCCACTAGGAGGCAGTCTAATGGTTTGGCATATGAAGACAAGCAACAGATGTGTGACTTTTATGTACACAAGCCTACACACACCCCTGCTGCTGGAACTGTGGTGTTAACCAAAAAAGTGTATCAGTTTTAAAATATGGCCCTTCACTGCCTTTTTCTCAGCTGCATGTAAACAGAACAGGTTTCATGCAAGTTCCTTTATTGCCTTGTCTAACTTACATGGGATGTCCCTGTAACCATTTTCCAAGGCATGGAAGTAATTCATAAATTCCCTCACTGGAATCTTGAAGGTTTCAAAGAGACCAGTATCTTCAAACAGCCTGTAAGAGACCTGCAGCATACAATCAAAGACACACATAACACACAATTCAAAAACAAAACCAGAATGGTAAAAAAAATAGGGTTAAGTGAGATCTTTAATAAGAAGACATAATGCAAAAAAAAACTGCTTAAACATTTTGGTCACACCACCTTTTTCAGAGCATAAACACTTAACACAATATTTGTCACATAAATGTAATGTAACAAAGTCACATGGCCAAGTCATGAGAACCTACCATTAGATAGGAACAAAAACTCCCTGTCATCATACAAAAGTTACAAAATATGTACACTCTCAAAAATGATGTGCTAAATAACAACACACCTTTTGTGTTCCAACACAAAATGTGTTATCCTTAACTGGACACAGAACTGTTGCTGTCCCTAAAGAGTAATTCCACTGACTTTTTATATAGTTCATTGTTGTAAATATTTGTCTTATTGATGTACTCCACATGGGATACACTTGATCTAATATATTCCTTTCATGCAACATTGCTACAAATGCCTTAGTTCTCACAAGCAAAACAAGTTCCACAGGGAAAAAAAACAGATCCTTGAGATTCTGTACTGTGTAAAGAGGGAATCTCTGAATACACACTTCTCAGGACCATATATGTGGTACAGCAGGCTGCAGAATAAGTTCTGACTGCTTTAAAAGAAGGCACAAAAGTGCTGCAACCACCTAAGCGTTGGCCCTAGTTAGATCCACAGTGATGCCACAGACCCACAGATAATCTTTGAACACACACATATAAGCACAAGAATGCTCAGAATGTTAAATATAAAGGGGTTTAAGGTGGAGTGGAAATTCAAATAAGATGCTAATATCAGCCTCAAAACATAACTGTATCAAATTCAGCACCATGGTGTGGATCTGGTACTGACTGACACAATAGGCAGTGCGCCACCGAGTTCAGTTCAGAGTTGAGTACTTTTTTGCATTACCAACGCAGCATTTTTTTATATGTGAATCACATGAAGATGGGCTGCATCGGCAAGAACTGTGAAAAAAGTTAGCACCAAGAAGACAAGAACTGTCTTAAGGAGGAGGACGAGGAGGACATTTTGGAGCAGGTGGGCATTAAGAAATGCTGAACTTAACTTACTTAGCTAGCACTAACTTTCATGACCATGTCACATTTAAGATATGATATGATATATGACATATAAGAAGCTCTAGCCAGCTTTATTATTTCAATATTACATATAAACAGGAAATATTAGTAAGACACAAAGAAGATGAAAATGCGCACGTTGGAAAAATTCCTTTAGCATGAAGGCAACACTGCATGTCTGGCAGGAGAGACCAAGGTGGGCTGGTGTACACTGAGTAGACTCTACTCTCAGTCTGAAAACCGGCCCCACTCTGGACAGCCAGAGAGCATAACTGGCCTTGCGTTCTCTGGGTGGGAAGGATGGTTCTCCTTCTCCCTCCATCACTCAGCAAGATGCTAGGTGTCACTTTCCCAGATTGTGTTTTGTGTATACTGACAAGAAAATTGGGTAAAAATCCCATTCCAAAAAAGGTACATTAGATTCAGGAGTAAATGTGTATACTACTGCGATCAGTTGGTTTTCAGCATATGGTAGTATGCAATACATAAGTCAAAATGCAAACATATGCATTCACCAAAAATCTGTATTTATTTAAGATCAATTTTGTCTTTTACAAAAGTTAGCTCTTTTATGGCTCTATATTTTGATCTAGTGCCAGCAAATTAATGTAAGACAAAGACAACCGGTGTAAACACTAAGAAAAGCAGTTCTTTAAAAGATTGTTTCATTTCTTTAACCAAATTTAGTTGATAACTATGGAGGACCAGATTTGCCAAATTGAAAAATAAATAAAATTAAAAAATAAATGGCTCAGTAAATTAAATAAAAAAAAATAATAAAAAAATATATATTGCTTATTGTGATTGCAATTATACACATATTTCCTTTTTCTGCAGTTATAGATTTCTCAATTCATTTATTTCTGTATTATTGATTGTTTTATTAAGGCCATTTTTATATATTTTTTCCATATCTATATTTTTAACAAATGTTTGCTTTATTCATTGATTCATGTATTCATTTATTTATTTGATGTCTAAGTGATCTGAATTTTACAGAAAAAGACGATGAACCACCTCCTCCAAAGTTCTGAACACTACTGGTCGACCTCTGTATCAGCAGAGGCAGTAAAATGGAAAAAACTGTCCCCACAGTGTCCACACGGAAGAGTCAATAACCCGGACCTGCATTTTCAGCCAGATCAGCCGAGAGTCTCAGATCTCTGACTGTCTGCTGCTGTAAGAAGCCATGAATGTACTGTCTTGTCCTTAGTTACCGCTGAGAGAGCAAGACATGTACAATCGATCAACCAATAGGAATATTAAGACGCTGTGACATCATTGACTGACAGCCCCTTTATTAGCATAAGGACAAGGAAATACAGAAATAAATAGAGAAATAAATAAATAGAGAAATTAATAGTTATAGAAATAATTAATAAAATAAATTAATAGAAAAACAGAAAAAATGTTAATAAAGAAGCAAATAATAAAAAAATAAATACAAAAATTAGTGAGAAGGGGAAATTACTAAATAGACAAATAAATGCAGACATTAATTTATGTAAGATTTTAATTATTAATATATTAATTATGTATATTTATTTATTTTTAGATTTATCATCACTATTCGTTTCATATATTAATTCTACATATATTAATTAATAGCAATTCTACTTCATATATTAATTTGCTAAGTCATTTATTTTTAATTTTATGTATTTTTCAATTTGGCAAATCTGCTCCTCCATAATAACTGGCATCAATTAACCTAGAGACACCTAGGCTTGATTAGGGCCAGGCTTGTTGAATCTAGACTTCACTTAAATAGAACTTTTCCAGCTATGTGAGGTAGACTAGAAGGCCTCAAGAACCAGCACAAAATCCTTCGATCAAAAGAAATTCAAACTCAAAGAGATGAGAAAGAAAGAGAAAAATATATTGGTCTGGAAAAGGTTACAAATCTATTTCTAAAGCTCTGGGACTCCAGCGAACCACAGTGAGAGCTGTTATCTCCAAATGAAGAAAACTTGGAACAGTATTGAATCTTCCCAGAAGTGGCTGGCCTACCAGAATTCCATCAAGAGCACTGGAACAACTCACCCAGGAGATCCCAGACGAACATCAAAGGAACTGCAGGCCTTGCTTGTCCCACAAATATCAGCATTCATGATTCCAATAGTAGAAAAAGACAAAAACTGTATATATGGGAGAGCTGCCAAGTGAAAACCTCTGCTAACCAAGAGGAACATAAAGGCTTATCTCACATTTGCCAAAAAACATCTTGATGACCCCTGAGCCTTCAGGAAAAATGTTCTGTGGACTGATCAAAGTGGAAAAAAGTCAGAAGTGAAAGACACCTAGCATAAAGCTCACAGCATTCCACAATAACAATATCACACCAGGAGTCAAACATGGTGGTGATAGTGTGATGTGGAGATCCTTTGCTGCTTCTCCTCTCTATCAGAAAATTCTTCAGGTGATTTTGTTAGTCCATGATCTGCAGCTCAAGCGTGAATGGGTTATGCAGCAAGACAATGATAGGATGCACATAAGCAAGTCCACCTCTGAATGTCACAAAAGAAACAAAATTAAGGGAGTGACCTAGTCAAAGTCTTAACGTGAGACCCATTGAGATGCTATGGAAGCACCTTATACAGGCAGTTCATGTTTGAAAGCACTCTGAATTAACATAACTCTGAATTAAAGGAAATCTGCAAAGAAGAGTGGACCAAAACGCCTCTAGAGCGATGTGAAAGACTGATCTCCAGTTATAAGAAGCATCTGGTTGCAGTTGTTGCTGATTTTATCCTTCAATAAATTATATAATAATTTAAAAACTGTGTTTTGTGTTTATTCATGTTCTCCTTGCCTTATTTTACACTTTATATGGTGATCTGAAATCATTTAGTGTGACAAATATAAAATAAAAATAGAGGAAATTTTCATGGCACTATATATATAAAATTAGATTTGTTCGAGGGAACATTGTCTTTATGTCCATTAGATGGCAGTGTACCTCTATTGTGTACCTTACCTGACTTAAGATGCGACCGCACTTGCCATACGTTTTCTCCACCAGGTTAAAAATTGGGAAATTCCAATTGTTGATCTGACTCATAAGACCCTCCAGACCCTCCATCATCAGTGGTTCGGGGGCCAGAATGGGCTTATCCTGAAAAAAGAAGGAAAATGTTCTGAGTCTTGTCAAATCATATATGTATACATCAACTGGAAAACAATCAGAAATTATTCAATATTTCTAGAATAATGATTAATTCAATTAGATTTCTCATGTTCACCGGCAGGATCACTGCTGCTGAAATGTGCACAATGTACAAAACAAATAACAACATTCTGTTGTAATCATTTTTAATTTTCTTAAAATAATTATAAGTGATTATTTTGACCTACTATGTCAAAATCTCATGAAAATAAGCCATTATTCCAACCTGGGGTTTGCATCCCAAACCACTACTTCTAAACTGTACATACTACTCTAATGAATGTGCATCAAATGGTGGTGTACTTTTTTTTACATACTACTTAGTGCAGTAGTACAAGCCCAATACCAAAAAAAGTTGGGACAGTAGAGAAATGCAAATAAAAACAGAAAGCAGTAATTTCCTTTGACTTGTATCTGAACCAAAACAGCACAAGCACAAGACAATTAATGTTTACCTTAGTTGGTAGAGGAGCAATTTAAGACCAGGAACACTGCGTAATGTTCAAAAAGTCAACCTTCTTCTTACTAGCATTTCACTTACTGTCTCAACGTGTTCATGATTGGGGTTGTATATGGTTTCTTTTGTCTACAGGAAATCGGCTTCCATACAAAAAGCAAATTAGTCAAACGTCCTTTGTTCATTTGCGTAGAACTTCTTAGTAGATAAGTCACTAAACTGGCCACCCCCACAAGCGCAAAGTGTAATTAGTGCCTCTTTCAATAAATCTGGTCCTGAAACTACAAATTATCAGAAAGGTCACCTCTGGTGGTATTAAGGGGTGCAGAACCAAAGCCTCTGCTTGGAATGTTCCGCACGAGTCTTGCGTGTCATACGGCTTTCTTTGAGCCTCTCCATCCTCCTCATTCTGTGCAAAATCGCTGCTGTCACTGTGATTGGTCTCATAGGTGCTGTCATAGTCAGAAGACGCCAACACCAGATCATCTAATTGATCAGAAAATGGCAAAACAGAAAAGCTACAGACATTATTCACTATTTTTCCAGAGTTATCTAAATGCTCCTGATTCCAAGTTCTTAAAACTTCAGTCTAATGCCTCATATGTTTGTAAATAAGTCCTGAACTGCCTTGTTTACTCTCATCTACTTCTGCCAATTCTTAACCAATCTGCACAATTCAAAATCTCAAAGATAGTCAGCCTGAGCACGGAAAGTGCCCATTAATAACCAACAAAAATATGTTGAACTTTCAAAATAATCAATCCGTGAAGCGCCTATCAAATGTTGTGCCTGTTGTTGACAGCTGCTATAACTCGTGTGCTTGTTCACTTAGCACTTAGCAAACTTTGTATGCTTGTTTCCTGCATGCTTCTGAAAGAGCAAACAGATTTGAGTGCCACTAGATGGTAATTACTTTGTGAACAAGCTATGTGGGCTAACCAGCTATAACTCTTGAGTGCCTTGAATGATCCTCAGTCACTGACAGATAAACAGCTGCAGGTCTACATTATTACCATTTTGTTTCAATAACAAGTGTTGCACATTGTTCTCTGAATGAGCTTTGAAAGTTTTGTAGACCACTGTGAACCACTTTGTTTACAGTGGCTCCACGGTAGCAAAAAAAGCTGTTACTCATGAATCCTTTGTTATCAAACATCATGAATTTGATCACAAGTCAAACGAGACTACTACAAAGTATGTATATTAGTACAGCAGCTAACTCTATATAACTCTTTATACAGAACACTGTTACCAAATGGGTACACTTCCTATTACCAAACTGTCACACCTGTTAACTGCTTGCTGATAAAAGCACAAAACAAGTTTGTTAGACTTTAGCCACAAGATGACAACAAAAACAGTGAAAAGGAAAGATCTCAAGCATGCATGATTAACACCACACTATGCATTTGTTCTATTATTGCTTCTTATGCAGATTCACTGTGTTCTCTGCTTAACATCCGTGTTCGTTCTTTGCAATAGAATGAAATAAACTGCAGTTTTTGTCTTTATACACAGGGGTGCAAATTTGGTCTGACAAGTTGGGGGTGGGACCAACATCAGGTGGAAAAAGCTAAAAACTAAACAGTGATAATAATATGTCACATATGCAGTATAGAGAATCAGTTGTGTATTACAGTGGATTGTTTTTTCATTTCCACTGTGTTACTAAAATTCCTAGTCTGATCGGCATGTTATAAATATTTCAGCAAAAGATCAAAATTATGATAAATAAGATGATAATTTAGAAGAAAAAGGAAGGACTATTAATAACCGTTATGGCGTAAGTCAATAAAAGGTCCTAGTACAGTAGAGTCGAAAATATTCGAGGACAGATTAGTTCTTAGTTTCTTTTTGTCATTACCAACTATAACTCAAACAAAACAATAAAAATCTGTTTTGGCTTTAATTAGAGTTTTAAAATGTAAAACTAATTGCATCAGTGATTTTGTAAGATGTTCTGAATAAGAGCATTGGCTAAATGAATACAATTATAAATAGAACTGTAAGAATCTTGCAAAGTTTAGTAGAATTAGAGATGGCATTACATGGGCTGTTAGCAAAGCACCTAAAACTCACACATTTAAAAGCACCACATAAAGATACTTTTCCAAAATAAGAAACTATTGTGGTATTTAAAAAAATAACGCTTAATGCTAAAACTTGATGCTAATGAAAAAACCCTATCAATGGAATTCGACCAATATAGCTGCTAAAATGTCATAAAATACAACGACAAACACACTTCTGTTCAAAAGTTTAGAATCATTTGTCAATCATTTTTGCTCTTTAATATTCAACAATAACTTATCATGTAGATTTAAATGTTATAAAACAACATACCAAAAGGCATTTTTCGATCTTTTACTCAATATTTAAAGTATTTTGGGAATACTTTGAAATGATACCATGATATAATGCAATTGTTTATTTAGTATCATTTTCTGTCAAGTATCTGAATTTTATTAGAACTTCCTTGTAGATGTTCTACAGTGTTTTCATTTTTAAATCATCTACAGCACCGTTCATCATTCTGGACACATCTATCATTGCTTTTTTTTCAGATTCTCAGTTTTCTACAAACTATATAAAATCTGTGAAGACGCAGAGGAATAGCATATTACAATAATTTTACATATTTATCCGCAATCCCTTGGGATTTATTTTATTAAAAAAACATTGATTCTAAACTTTTGAACAATAGTGTATATACAAACATACCTTTGATGCTACTAAGACTCAGACAATCTAACAGGCAAAGCGGGCTAAATAATTAAATCTCATGAGGAAATATACCAGGTATTACTTCAGAATATTTGCACTTGCAGTGATAATTATGGGGTTCCATAGTAATGGACTTGAGAAAACTTTTAACAACAACAACTACAACAACAAAATATTCTTACCTGACGGTTGTGTTTTGTCACCTTTGTCTGTAGAGCCCTCCCCATGCCACATTTTGCTATACGGCCTTCCGCAGCTGCATGGGAGCATAACATGATAGTACATATACATTGCTACTGGAATAACAAAAACATTAAGGTACCCCTAAAGTTATAAATTAAAACACAAAACAACCATCTATGTTGAATAATACATTGTTAAATATTTTTATATATCATTGTTATGCCCAAGAAGCTAATAGAAATGCTACAGGAGCATCCCTAAATGTATTAAGAATGCAGGGAACCCTGACCCTACCCCGCCCACTACCCTGCACACTGTCTATGTTATAGACTTTGAGACGAGGCAGAGCAGAAACAATAACCATAACCAATAACCAATAACAATAAATTACATGTTTTGTTGATTTTCTAAGTGAAAATAAGTTAACATATCTTCTACAGAGAGAACACACTATTGCATATTTTAATGCTCTATTACTGTATATTGTATATAAGTTTAACAGCAAAAAAACATGACATCAGCAAGGAACATCTGATGTTTTTTTTTTAATATGTTTAACTTTGAATTCATTATTTTGTAATGTCATCAAACCAGTGCATTTACATATATCCACCTACTCAGCCTATAGCAGTTTAGCCCCACCCATTCACTCTACAACAGTTTAGCCCAACCTACTCATAATAAAATTATAAGAAGTGTTTTAATACAGGACAGAGAATGAGAACCGAGCTCTTTTACTTATGCCAGGCACAGTAACAAAAACAGCCTGTTTAATTCTAAGGGATAAAGAGAGTTTGGAAAATGGTCATGTAAAAATGAATTAGGTTTTTGGCACATAACCACACAAATGTTATAAGTGGAGCTCAGAGAGAAAAATAAAATGTTAGGATAAAATGTTTAGACCAAAATCTCATCACAAAGCTAGTGTAAAAAAATGTGTGGTAGCTTGTAGCAGTTTCTGTGAGGTAGCTTGTAGAGGCATCAAATGGTTTGAACATCTGGTTCTTGCAAATATCATAGAAGTGCAAGCAGATAGTATCATTACAGTAGCAGATAAAAGTTAAAATGCTCATCCCTAACCACTAAGGTAACCTTTATTTTAACAAGTGTAATAGTGGGAGCAAGAAAACTGACAAAAAGCCTAAATGCCACTACTTAGTGTTCATTTTCACTCATGTTCTGAGCTAAAGATGAATATGTGCACTTCATCCTCCTTTAACTTCTCATGTTGTCGCAGCACATTTTGTAGCTTGGGTACCTTTCAAGTTGCATTCTCTGTTCTACAACCACAAGGGGGCCCCCTGCGACAGCCTGAAGCATGGTTAAAAACAAAGTCTACAGTCTACTCGTGGGGCCCCCTGGTGGCTCATGCCCCTTCTATCTATGTACTAGGCTTTGTCACTGCTGTTTAGTATTGCAATGTGAATCAGCAGGGCAGACATAACCTAATCGAGCGGCTCCTCTGTGCTTGAAATTCATTACAGGCCAAGGGCAATGTGACATTCGTGCCTACGCACAGAGGTGCAAGAGGGATAAAATAACGAAAGAGAGAAAGAAGGAGAGATGGAGGGAGATGAGAGGAGAGAGAGTCATGCAGCTGCAGCTGATCTGTTAATGTTTGGACACAAAGGGCCAGATTCATAAAACTCAGCAGTAACCGTGCTACAACCTGCAAAATGCAAAACTCTGAGAAAAGAAGTAGAAGAACTGCTTGGTAAAAATGCATTCATACACCTTAAAGATATTTGATAACAAATGCAGGACACACAACAGCAAAGTTTTGGGCACTTCTGCACATTTTAATGCACAGTTACTGTTTATTTGCTGAATTTACCATGTTGGAAAACATAAAATGTGGTATGTACAGAAGTTAATCGCAGTAAAGAACGCGTAAACTGACCAGAGGCACCCAAACTTTTGCATATGGCTATCAATTTAGTACCTAAAGAAAGAAAAGCATTCAGCTAACCCAGCGCTTGATGAAAACCTGCACGTGCGGCCAAACATGTTCGGAAACATAAAGGTAAAGATCTCAGTTTTCAGGCTGCTTAAAAGGGAATACCACCAATTCAGCCTGCAGCAGTGTAGCTCCACCTTTTCAAACAACAGAAGTTTAACCCCACCCGCCAAACATATTTACATATACCAGTCTTAAAAGGACAGTAACAAAAACAGCCTGTTTAACTCCAAAGGATGAAGAGAGTGTGGAAAATCATAAAGGTAAAAATGAATTAATTATGGCTGCTTTTGGTACATAAAACAACAAAAATGGAAAAATAAAATAAAAGAAAAATGAAGGATTTGGGCCATTTAAAATTATTTTTAGGCCAATAACTAATTACAAAATTAGAGTAAAGAAATTAAATCATAACCATATCGTAATAAAAACAGGAAAAAAGCATGAAGTGATCACAGCTGTTCTTCAAAATCAAATACTTTTCCAATAAATTTTCAGTTTTGATTGGAAATTTTATATCTCTAGCCATTAGCCACAAAAAGTATATTTTCATGGCATGTGATGGGCTCCTTCTAATGGCAAAAAATAGACAGGTCATGCTCCACCTGCTGGTCTTACCTGCTACAGAGGGGTGGGGGTATCCAATGTGTGGTGCTGGAAGAAGGTGCGCTTTGACTGTGGGTTAAGGCTCGGTGAGGGGTCCGTGGTGAGGGGCAGTTGCCCTGAAGTGCTCGAGGGTCAGGCAGGTCCACTGAGGGGGCTTTAGTGGTGGGGCTGTTGACTGGGGTTCCCTGGACTGGAGGCGAGTGACACGGGGAGACCATGGGCGAGATGCTAAAGGGAGGGTAGCCTGTTGATCCAATTAAACTAATGTCATAAATACACAAAATTCACAAATACACTCAAACAAACTCACAACTACGGCTGTCATGATAATTTGATTAAATTTGATTTTAATAATAATTGATTTAACCCCTTTCTGCAGGTTTCATAGTGAATGACAATAGAAATTGACTTGTTGGGTATTTTTATTAATATATTAAAATTAAATACTTTACTTCAAAATATAATTCAATAAAAATCAAGGTTGCTCTGAGGGACCTCCAAAACAGGTTGAAATATCATTTTATGGCTACTGCAAAAAGAGGTTAAATTATCAGCAATGATTATTTGGCAATATGCATGCTTTTAAAATTCTCCTACTGGTCTCTCTCATGGTAAAAAACAAAGCCTATTAGCCATACCCATTTATATGTCTTTATATTTTTTAGCAAAGTGTTTCTATATATTTTAGGTGCTTTAAGTCTTCCATGTTTATCTTTTTTCAATACATTATTTCTAAGGTCTTCTTTTTTTATTAAGTCTATTTTTATTGTTAGTCCTTTATTTTTAAGTGTAATTGCTCAATAAATCAAAAAAATAGCAGTAGACTACAGGATTACTCATATAATCAATAGAAACAGCCCTACACAAAACACACATAGAGATACAGTACCTCGCCTGCCTTTGCTGTAGAGGTAGTTGGGGGCCGAGGTGGCGAAGGAGGCAGACATGGACCTAGATTTGGAGACAGCGAGCAAGACAGAGCTGTTCCTGGAATCATTCACCATACTACAAAACAGAGGAAAACATCCGGAGTGACCATTCTGATTTTTACCTGCCTCTAATGCCCAGAATACTCTTATCTTTGCCTGTAACTTCAAAGGACCCAGATCATGTAAAACCCCATTTTTCCTTAATTTTTTGAGACAATACTGGGCAGCCAATGTAGGTGAGAAATACAGTTACATAGTATTATTATATGCAAATTATATTTAACATAAAACAGCTACACACAACAGTACAAACAGTTTAGGTATAAATACAGTAAACACAAACCATACAAAACATTGTATAATACACTACATCACTATTAGTTTCAGAACAACAGAGAGACTAAACAGTAAACGACGGAAAGGGGGAAATAAAAACTCTTACTATTAAAAAGCAATGATTTTATGCACACTATATGGCCAGAAATATGTGGACACCCCTTCTAAATTTGATTTCATTGGTAACAGGTGTATAAAGCACATAGCAATGCAATCTCCATAGACAAACTCTGGCAACAGAATGAGTCATACTGAAGAGCTCAGTGACTTTAAACGTGGCACTGTCACAGGATGCCACCTTTGCCACAGCTTGTGAAATTTCAGTCCTGCTAGATTTTACCCGCTCAACTGTTCATGCTATTATTTTGAAATGGAAGTGTGTTGAAGCAAACAACAACTCGAAGTGTTAAACCACGGGAACTAACTGAGTGGGGCTGCCGAGTGCTGAAGCACATAGTGTGTACAAATTACTTATACTGTGTTGCATCACTCACTAGAGAGTTACAAATTGCCTCTGAAAACAACATCAGCACAGGAATTGTGCATTGGGAGCTTCATGAAATGGATTTTTTATAGCCAAGCATCAGCTCACAAGCCTAAGCTCACAATGTGCAATACCAAGCGTTGACTGGAGTGGTGTAAAGCAGTGGAGCAGTGGAAACGTCTTCTCTGGAGTCATGCAACACGCTTCACTATCTGGAAGTCTGATGGATGAATCTGAGTTTGGTGGATGCCAGGAGAACGCTACCTACTACTGGAATGCACAGTGCCAACTGTAAAGCAGATCAAAGTGAAGGATAATGTTAAAGCTACATCATACAAAGACATTTTTAGGCAATTATATGCTGTGTGGCAACAGTTTGGGGAAGGCTCTTTCATGTTCCAACATGACTGTGCCCCTGTGCGCAAAGCAGCGTACATAAAGACAAGGTTTGGTGTGGATTGCTATAGTGTATGTATATGTCTTGTCATCAGTGAACACTTTTAACAGTAGTAGCCCTTAGCAGTGGGTTACATTGTCAATACTGCAGACAGTGTGCACAGAACAAAGTGTCCTGTGCATATGAAGTAAACTGTAACATAATGCATCTCATGTGAAGCGACCAAGAGCAGTAATGCAAGACATGAAAGCAAATAATCAGACTGATAGTATTATCCAGTCTCAATGTGTGAAGGATGACAGCCTGTTCTGGATCCTAACTGTCTGAAGCAGCTCCAGGAGAAGTCTAGAACCTAGAATGATGTCTAGAATTTTACACCGGTATTTCATCATGCATGTATATAACAAAGTTTTGTTAAAGTACACATTACCAGTCATATGCAAAAGTTTGGGCACCTCTGGTCCAATAACATTTTCTAAGAAAAAAAAATTAAAAACACATCCTCTACAGAAAACACACTTCTGCTTTTAGTGCTCAATTACTGTTTATTTCCTGAATTTAACATATTGGGGGAAAAATAAAAAATAAAAATAAACTGTAGAGTAAAATTTGCAGAAAGAAATGTAATTTTTAAGTTTGTTCCCTGTACATAATGTGTTAACTTATTTTCACTTAGAAAATCAAGAAAACATCTAATTTGTCTGAGGGTGTTTAAACTTTTGCATACCACTGTATGTGCTCTTGTTTGCACACTAACACCCGCAAGATGATTTAGCTATATGCATCACAAGGATAAGCTGCTCAAGCTCACGAGCTCCTTTATTACCAGACAATGAGTTTTCTGGGAGAAAATTATTAGTAACTCCTGAGCCAGACCCCAAATGAAGCCAGAACACTTTAGTAAGTTGAGATTATCAGGTGGATTCTCAGAACAAATTAACTGAAGTGCTGTTATACCCTGTTTATGAATAAAATTAATTAATAAAACAGAGTGGCTGTACACTCACCCTGATTGTACAAATAGCCATGTTGCCTTGCTGTTTTACAAGTCATACTCACAGTTGTCACCTGTTGGCAGCAAAACTGTAAGCCAATATGGTTGTTTTCATGTTTGTCACCATTTACCACTTTGTTTTTAAGGCAAGCTTATATTGTTATTTCTGTTAATAATAATCCAAAGGAGTCAATAAGATTTACTAACCAAACTCCTCATCTAGACTTAGAAGACCCATTCATAAAATAACCTAAACAGCAGGTAACATACACTATATGGCCAAAAATATGTGGACACCTGATCATCACACCTGTACAAGCTTGTCGGACATACCATTCCAAAACTGTGAGGAGTTGCCCACCCTTTGCAGCTTAAACAACTCCAGTCAGGTAAAGAACAGGAAAAGGCCTTCCCCAAACTGTTGCCACAATGTTAGAAGCATATGCTTGAATGTCTTTGTATGCTGCAACATTACCCTTCACTTGAACTAAGCGGCCTAGCTTAAACCCTGAAAAACAGACCCAGACCATTCTCCCTCCTCCACCAAACTTTACTGTTGTCACTATGCAGTACGTAGCCCCACTTTGTGAGTTTGAGCGGCCTTCTGCTTCATGGCTGAGCTGAAGTTTCTCCTAGAAGTTTCCATTTCAGAGAAATAGCTCTTACAGTTCACCAGATCACATAAAGCAGGGGTGCCCAACACATCGATCGGGATCGACCAGTCGATCGCACAGTGCACATTGGTAGATTGCGCCTCATTCAAACAGGCTATCGCATTTCAATACTTTCTCACTGCTTCTGGTGGCAGGCAGGTCAACATGATTAACTGATGCGAAATGTGGCCACTGTCTCTTTAATTTACTGCTTGGAACCACAGCTATGCCACAGCCACCTAAAAGCACTGCTGTGAGTTTGCCTCTTTATCAATCTAGAAAGTTTTCATTTATCGGTGGCCAGTTCGTGTAGCGCCATTTTTGCATTTTACTTCTGTAACCTACACAGACTCTTTCAGACGATGAATGCAAGACCAAGCACAAAGAAACTGAAAACATACCTCCTGCATGCACAGCAGGAGGACTATTTTTTACAATGTCAAACTACAAATGCATCTGCTTGATTTGCCAAGTAGCCATCGCACTTCCAAAGAAGGGGAACGTCAAAGGGCATTTTCAAACTATACACAGAAACTATGATGATGAATTCCCAGCTAAAAGTGAAGTAAAAGGGAAGAAAAAAGTGCTCCAGGCTACACAAACTGGCTGACATCATTCAGTGCAAATCATCAGAACAAGGCTGGTGTGATTTTTACGTTGTTTGCCCTGTAATACATACATACATCATCTAAACCGCTTATCCTTCTGGGTCGCGGTGGGGTGCTGGAGCCTATCCCAGCTGTCATTGGGCGGAAGGCAGGATACACCCTGGACAGGTCGCCAGTCCATCGCAGGGCAGACAGACAGACATACACATTCACACACACACACACTCACCTAGGGGCAATTTTGTTTGCCCTGTAATGCTGAATATAAATATATACCACACTAAATACATTAAAAAGTTTCAAAGCTTTTAAAAAAGGATGAGAATAATGGGATAGATCATGATGACCTGTCCACTGGAAAAAGTAGATCTCAAGCCACAAAAGTATGGGCACCCCTGACATAAAGCATGGAATTTTGTGAGCTGATATGTTGCAAAAGTGGCATTGAACGATAGAAGTCTCTGAGCTTTTCAGCATGACCCATTCTACTACCAGTCTTTGTCTATGGACATTGCATGGCTAAGTGCTTGATTTTATACACCTGTTAGCAATGAGTGTGACTGAAACATCTGAACTCAATGATTAGGAGGAGTGGCCACAGACCTTTGTCTTTGTATTGTATCATAAAAGATGAAAAGTACTTAATGTAGTACCTGCTGGAGGGACTGTCATGGACGGGTTTGATGCTGGCACTGTGGTCTCGCCTCACGGGGCCAGGCTCAATGGTGGGAAGCCCCGTGGCAGAGGTGGTAGTCGTCCATGAAGAGGAAATGCGTCGCAGAAGCCCAGGAGGCAAACTCCGCCGTAAGCGCTGTTGAAAGAGAATCAGTATATATTTTCAGTTCACACACCTACAGATTCCAATTGTATGCCAATAGTCTTACAGTCTTAGGCAAAGCTTTTGCTGTAACTCTATCAGAAGGTTAATGCTGTTGTCTATTTTAGTTTGCTTTTGAAGACTTTTCAGTGATCAGTTGCAGTACAGTTGGACAAGCAATAATATATCACTCTTTATCACTCTTCAATCAAGTTTCAGACTGCAAAGCGCTCCTAAGAAGCTCAACTAGCTAACACATTATTTTACAGAGTGCAGAGTTGAGATCTTTCTTCTTTCATCTGTTGTCAGGAGTACAAATGGTCATGTTCAGGGGACTAGAGAAACGTTTTATTTTCTCATTGTCTACACAGAGCAATCCCAGTCAACTGTAAGCAGCTGTTAGGTCATTATACAGTAGAGTAGTTAAAGCTCTCCTTAAATGCAGCCTCGTCTGTCCTGTAACATATTATGAGTAGCAGCTTAAAAAGATACAGTAATTGGCTAGAAATATAATGGAGGAAGTACATGTTAAAGTGAGACAGACGACGAGTGGCTGATAATCCGTTGCAAGGGAACAAAAGAGAAATATTATTTGGACAAGAATTCAGCCAATAACGTGGACCGAAATAACGTAAACTAAAAAGCCAGCTACCAAAAAGCTGTGAATAGGTACACCTGGTTGTCCTTGAGCATGGCACTGTTGTAAGTGGATCAATAAAGTGTAATAAAATGTCCCTTTTTAACAGATTATTCTTCTGCATGATTTAAACTGAGTTTTTCCATATCTGCATTTCACTATCACTTTTCTGTATTTCCAAGCATGTGTTGCATGCTGGGTAGTTTACCTGTTACTCCGCAGCAGAGAGTGCACCAGCCAAATAAGATTAGAGAAGAAAACTGCTCCTTCATCATGAGAGAGAGTACCTAGCTACTTTTTAAAAATAGTGATAAATTCAAATGTGTTGTTAAAAAGATTACAACTATATTATAATGTTGGGTACAGTATAGTATTAACTTAGCTATGTGGACAAAGCATTGAACAATACCTGAACTTTCAATAATTCAAGTAGCTGTTAAGCTAGCGAGCAAGCTAGCACAAGATTAGACATATTTTTAGATTCTTTTCTTTTAGTAACTTTTTACAGCAATCTTAACTACGTTAATCAGTGTCAGCATGCACTACAATTAACCAGAAATGTTAATGCTTTGCGCCCTGCGATGGACTGGCGACCTGTCCAGGGTGTTTCTTGACCGTCACCCAATGACTACTAGGATAGGCTCCAACTCCCCCCGCAACCCAGAAGGATAAGCAGGTTAAAAAATGTGTGTGTATGTGTGTGTTTGTTAATTTTTTGCCCAAAAACTAGGCATGAAAAGAGTTAAAGTGTATAAAAGCCATCTAGCTAAGTTAGCTAATGTTAATCAACAGTGGATACTTAGCCTCACTAATAAAGATTGAAAATTGTGTGAAAGTTTCCTGTTAAAGGAAATGAATGTCTTATAAAACATGGTAGATATGTAGGTGCAAATGCTAAAATTAGAAAATAAGAAACATTTAATTGTAATGGATCTTTCATTTGTAATGACAGATTTTACTTTTTGGTGTTTTGTGTTTACCAGTACAGTTTGTCTTGCTGTGATAAAAGTAAACAGGTGGTGACTTTAAGCGTAGCACTTGCTAGCTAGGCTCTCAGTAGGCAAATTTGTTTTGCGCTATTGTTCGACTATCACGTTTGAATCCTGCTGAAGCTACAGCCCCCAAAAAGTCACTGATTATTAGCATATTATCAACAATATTGGTATTGCTAAATCTGCAGGCTGTCAATAAAGGCTGATACCAACCACCCCAATACATTGGTTAGGTTCTAGTGCCTTCTCCTGCATACTGCCAAATAATCACTGACAATTTTTTTTTTTTGAGTAACTGTGTCTAACTGATTAACCATAGCCCTAGTCTGCTGATCAAAGAGAGTTTTCAATTCAAATTACAGAACTGTAGCATGGGAGAAAAGAACGTGCACAAAATGTATGACTCTTTGTCAAAGTGCATTTTTCCTTTTTACTCCCAACAGCAGTATTAATATTTCAGGCAGATTTGCTCCACATATGGCACCATGGGACAAATTCCATTCACCCACACTGGGACAACCTGACATCCAGACTTCCGCAATGGCAGAGAGATTCTGAGGTTAAATGCCAGAAGTCTCTTATAATTTTAGTTTACAGAGACAAAAAATCCCACTTTTGTTTTGTTTTATATCCAGGAGTTCCCATTGTCGCTCTGCCTCATTCTAGCTCTTATCTTATTTGTAATATTTTGGCCTATTTACTCTGTGTATATAAGTTCTTCCATTCTTTCTCTGTTCCTGGCAAAGTGTCTTGCTCTTTCTTTTGCTCTTACCCTCAAGTTTTTGAGGAGTTCTTCCTAGTTTCTCTTGTTTTCTCCAAAATTCAATTTCTGGTCTCCCTGTTTTATTTCCATTTTTTTTCTCCTCAGTTTTAGTCATTGCCAATTCTACCCACTAGCTAAGTCCTCCCCCAATTACATGGTGCTAACAAGCTAAGAGGGATGAAGGCTAGCATGTGCTTCCTCCGAGACATGAAGCACCAGGGGAACTTTTTAAACTGCAGCTAACACAGCATCATTGGAGAGCACAACGCTTTGGGGAGAACACTAACTGCCAATTCTGTTATGTCAGCTAACAGATGCCCACACTGACTGACTGGAGAGGGAGGACCATCCTACCCACCCAGAGAAAACAAGGCCAATTTTGCTTTCTTTGACTCCTGGCCACAGATGGCTGTGGCATCAATGGGGATCAAACTTGCGATCTCCCAATGATAGGGCCAGATTTGATGAGTTGGACTTTGTAAGTGCCATTACTCCTGTCTATGTGCACTGCAATGGTCTGCTGTGTATTCTAGGAATTTTATTATATATTTTCATTATAGTTTATTGAATAAGCCCCAATGAAACAACTTCACCGTTTCCACACATTGGCTATCCCCCCATTTACAGCCACCGGAATATATTTTGTCCCATCTTAACAATTTGCAAGCACCACGTTATCCTAGTCTATCAAATTCTACTTTTTTATATTGTTAATGTAATTTAATTATAATTAGTTATTTATAAACACTTTGCATTGCATAAGATGCAATATTAACTGTTTGTGTTTCTGTGGTTCAATGCTACACCCTCTGCAGAAGCATGTATCAGAAAGAAAACATACAGGCCTTATTTGTAGACATTTAACAAATTTGAAGACATGTAAAAAACGACACTGAAATGAGTTTGGTTATTTGTATATTGTCAGAAAAAAACCTACTATCTCCAAAAAAGTAAAAAATGTTCTTCTATCAATGTAAAAATGTAATCATCAATGTAAATAATGTAATCATATTTTATTTGCAATAAGTGTAATGACGTGTAATAATTTTCAAATCATGCAAAACAAAAAAGAAACAACAAAATTGGAGAAACAGGCTTTTGTTCTGACAGCAATGATATATTAGAATACCGTCACCCTGTGCCTCTATGCTCCACTTCAGGTTTATTTCAGACCTGTGGGAAACACTGAACTTTGCACGTGCATCCTCCGTCCAAGCCTCACTCTTTACATTGGCAGTGATAGCCAAGTTACCATAGGCGAGCATGAGACACACCAAGCGGGTGTGTACAAACATCTATTCATTTTGCAGTAGTATTACTACTGCTAACCTGTTCCAAACAAGTGTCCAGTGAAGGGAGATGTGTTTAAAACCACAGAATTTTAAACATGCGAGTAGTGTGTGTTGAGAGACTAAAAAGGCCAATCATGAGATGAGATGTCAATGCACTCTGACACATGAGTCTGTCAACTTTTAATAATCAATCAGTTATAAAACTCAGAATCATACATGTGTGCATAAAATGGGGAAAAAAACAGAAAATGTTTCCGTGGTTTAACTCACTGATACAAATCCAGTTTGAAGTACTGTCAGCTGCTGTTGAATGCAGGCTGTTAGATTGGGTGTGTCATCTGATGCACATGGGGCACATGTCCCCATGTTTTTGCTCTTTTGTGGACTATCCAGTGGCTGTAATATACAAGGTGCAGGTATATGCGAGAAGTCCAATCCAATCTATTTGTTCTACGTAACAGAACAGCTCAGAATATGTGCTGCATTTTGGCCAAAAGTTCTAAATGAATGTTATTTTGAACGCATGTTACTGGACTATATACCCTAAAGGTATATAACATATTAGTGCTCTTTCCTTAGAAAGGTACACTAATTGTACAAAAGTATCTAGGCACCTCTTCTAATTAGTGAATTCAGCTAAAGAGCCCATGCACCCTAATATGTGTTTTTAAAGGGTTAACTTGTCTTGGATTGTTTATTATGATATGGTTTGGTATTTATGTGAACTATGTTACTATAATTCAGAGTTCAAATTGATATTCATCTATCTAATAAACTGAGCAGAACTGTCCTAGAAGTAGGTAGCCATAACTTGGCATGCCACAGCTTTACAAACCACTGTCCTTTTTAGCACCAGAAGCCGTTGTTAGATAAGCGGGATAAGCAGGCTATCATTAGCTTGGCAAGCATGCTAAACGTTTCATACATCATAACACAGGTTTGATTAAGCAAGTTTAGAGGATAAAGACTCAAATCGGAGCACATGAAAGGGAGTGACTGCTGCTGGAGTGTCAAAAAGACAGAATGTCTCCTCTTCTGTGTTGTTAAGCTAGCAAATGGCATGCTCCCTATTCCGTTGTTATCCCATGGTTATCATTGGTAAATACTAAATACTTTTATCCACATGCTCATTTTTCTTCTTTCTATATTCACCATTTTTAAATTGTCAAAATTCTTTGTCTTATTCTTATTCATGTTTCTCTAGTTTTGCTATCCTGTGTAAACCAAAGGAGGATGGTTTCCCCTTTTGAGTCTTGGTTCCACTCAAAGTGTCTTCCTCTTGCTCTTAGGGAGTTTTTCTTGCCATTGTCACCCTTGGCTTGCTAATGTGAAGCTGTTTTCTGTAAAGCTGTTTTGTGACAATGCTTGCTGTAAAAAGCACAATATAAATAAATGTTGACTTGAATTTACTCCTTCTGAATGTATCAAGAACTGCAGTGTTACTGTATTTTTCAACAGCTGTGGAATAAAGAACACTGAGAATCTTAACCATGCTTTATTTAGATTCTTAACTCAAACAGGCTGCTATTAGGACCTCATTATGCAAACACTTCCAGCTTGATTGAAAAAGCTTAGGAAATACATTCCAGTGTGAAGGTTAGAGAAACACTGGTGAAAGAGGTTATTCAGAGGGTGTAAAAAGCATGGGAGAAAGCCATTCAAGCATAATACGTATAATGCCTCAAAACTTTTGCTGTTTACAACTGACAAACCAGGGAAGTAAACCTTCTCTTGGCACTGTTTACCTGGCACTCAGGAAAGAAAAAAATGTGATGACCTGGAAAATGTAGAAATAAAATTCCTCTGGAAGTTGGGGAAAGTGTATTATTATAGATCAGACTTTAAAATGCGCTTCCTACCACTGAGGTCTTGGCTAGCGTTACCTGCTTTTCTCACTTCCATATGCGAGCTGCAGCCAAAGCTGACACCCAAATGGGCCTTTATTCGTAATGTGAAAGCAGAGCATGGGCTTTCTGCGACCTTCTGCAAATTGTGTTATGATTACTGGAGACTTCGGGTGCGCCGGAGCCCGAATCTTACCTTACTTTTCATCCTGTCTTATTCCGAGATGTCGCTGTTGACACAGCTGGGGAGATGACAGATAAAACAGTGCACGAGGAACCAAACTCGTTCGTGTTTTTCTTCACTCTGACTGCCAAAAAATCACCTTAAATTCATCCTGGAGTTAAAAGCGCGACTGTCGACGGAGGCTATGCAGCCGGATTACTAGCAGCGGTCTGTTTAGGATCACAGCACAGTACTGTGTGACCTACATAAGGGCCTGATTTAATGAAGGGGCTTTAATAAACATCTCTCAGTGTTTGCTAAGATGTTGTAGCACATGTACATAACTTGAGAGCTGTGAGGTAGTGGGGTAGTGACTTTGGCCCACAACAAGCTATGCTATACTACGTCTTCAGTGCCAGCATGCATTTTTAAGTGCTGTGCCAGTTAATCATTAAAAGGCTTCTCCGAGAATGTGCGTCATGGGCCGCTACATTAGAGGCCACGCTGGCCTGTGAGGAGGTGGGGGACTGTGTATGCGTGTGAGAGAGAGAGTATTGTGGAGTATAGTGGTCCATGGCGGGGCACATTTTAACCCAACAGAGGCTCTTTGCTTTCAAAAGAACACTAATTTAAAGGGACAGAACCAGTCTTTCACAAAATACACCACCATTAGGGAAGTCACGATATGCATGATAATATAAATTTTTTTATGAGATAATACATGCTGTGAATCGAATACAGCTAGATTTTATACCATACAATAAATGAGTTCTATTTCACAGAAACCATGATATTCCTAAAAGTCATAACCACAAACATAAAAACATTCTCCTGTGCAACTCTCAGAACAGGAAAAAAGCTGATTTAGCTGGCCTATCTTGGATGGTTGATTAGCCAAGCTATTTGAAATAGCAAGGTTTTTCAGTCAAGTACATTGATCATGGACATACAGTGGTAGACTGAACAGTTATAGTGTGCCAATACTGCTAAATGTGAGGATCAGATACACGTCCTAATACCTCGAATACACCGCCTTATTTGTGAAGGCACCACAAAATTTGTCAGTTACCAGAGCAAGGAGAAAAAAAAGAAGCTAAAGTTAGCTAGCAGCAGTTATACGTTAAATGGAGCAGTTATACGTTAAATGTTACTGCTGCTCCATTTCAGGTGGCAAAGAAAATTTTAACAAGAAGCTGGAGAATAGAAAGCCAACTTCAGCCTAGAGAAAACATGAGTCTCAGCTACTTCTCTCCACTGGATTGAAGCAGCCACTAAGTGATTTGAACAGGAGAAACAAATAACTTGCTCTGTTGGGATGTTAATAGCTACTGATTTGCACCTCTATTCAGTTGTAGAACCTGCAGTTTGCTGGAAGCAATTGAGCCACATTAGAAAAATCCCTCTTACACTCATTTCAGCCAGAAGGTCTTCAGTCAGACTTCACATACAAGCAAAAGACCATTTATTTAATATTGCGATGCAACCTTAGTTAGTTCACATTTGTTATTTACTTTTATATAGACATTGTACTATTGTTCATATTCTTTTTATATTTATTTTTTCTTCTAAGAAAATAACTTGTGCCAGTTTTCCCTTGAACAAGTTTTGGGATATACCGAAAAATAAATAAAAACAAAAATAAATGCTAACGGTATGTTACCATTTCTTTTCTAATCATGTATTAACACAATATATTGTGATGCCAAAATGGCAATATGTATTGTATCGTGAAATATTGGGAATGTTTACACCCCTAACCACAATCTATTTTCACAGTTTTACACATTTCTAATAACAGACATACTGCACTATACACTGCAGATTATCAGACATATATGCAGCAATTCAAGGCTAAAACACTAGTTCCTACCTTAGGGATGGCCAGTCTCTCACTCTTCTCAGGAGTCTCTTCAGAGTCAGAGCAGGTGTGTCCATCACTGAAGGCCAGCAGGGGGCTGAGGCGTGGCCGGTGGTGGAGGGGCTGAAAAGTGAGCTGGGTACTGAGCAAGTTACTGACGGCCCGCAGTGAGCTGCAGGTGTTTGGGGGCAGTGAAGGGTCAGCCAGCAAGTCTGAGATCAGTCCATGTGCTTCACCCATCACTGCAATGTCCACCATCACACTCGTGCCTGAGGACTACAGAGAGAGAGAGAGAGAGAGAGAGAGAGAGAGACAGAGAGAGAGAGAGTAGAAGGAGGGGGAGAGAAGAGAACAAAGAGAGTGTGAGCAAAATCATTCTCAGCTCATCTGCACCTCTATGTAGGGCTGATGTAATGGCTTGCTGACGTAGACAGTGATGCTGACTGTCAGAGGCACAGAGAGAAAGGAAGGTAATGAGTACAGCAGTGATGAAGGAAAGACATGAAGATGATGAGGACAGTGACAGCTTAGTCTTGGTCTTTCACACTTTTGCATCTATAAGAAGCACACATGGCTTGGTTTAACAGCCAAGTGCTGGATTCACAAAGCTTTTCTAAGAAAAAACTTTCCTCAGCTCTTGAGACAAAAACTGAGAAGATCATAAGATTGTTCTTCAATGCAATTCTCATATAAATATTAAATATTAAAAGTTCTCAAATATTCTCTTAAGAAAGTCTTCATTATTTTCTTAAGAATATCTTAATTGTGGTAATTGCGTAGACTACCAATATTGTGTTACATTTTTTTACGGATGATCAGAAATTATATGACATTTCTGTCAAGTGGTTATTTAGTTTAATCACATCAGTGCATAAGGAAAGTAAAACAAAGGTGAAACAAAATCAAACTAAATCTTCAAAAAAATGTACCAAACAAGAAAAAGTGCTGAAAAAGATAAACAACATGAGCAAGCCAACATGAAAATTCCTCCTTGGTTCATTGCTGCATTATTATTATTACAATCATATTTTGTGAAGCTTGTTAGATGTTACAGTTTAAGAGATTTACCCTGTCAATCATTACAGTCTAAGATAACAGCCATAAGGTTAAGAAAATATTTAAGGACATAATTTTTTTCAGGAATACCACTTGTTCTTACAATTGCTCTTAAGAGTTAAAAGTTAAGACAGATTCACAGAAAATTCTTAAAGCGTTTATGAAGAACAATTTTTTAAAAATAATTTCTTAACTGTTTTTAACTATATAAGGGCACATCTAAAAATTGCACTGTTCTATGAAATAGAATGATAGAATATAGGTCACTTAAATATTGTGCTGCACAGAAAGGGTCACTGATCTCACTTTTAGTGAAAAAGCCAAACCTAATATATGATAATATTTAAAATATAAAGCTGACAGATTATAAATTTGTAGAACAGTATAATTTGTTTGAGTAGAGACAAGTATACACAAACCTTCAGTCCAGAAGTTCAGAAATCAAGCTTTACTCCCCAGGAAAATAACTAAGTGATTATAACATGAAAAATAAAAAAAATTAAATCAGTATACTGAGACCAAAAGTGCACACAGGGAACAAGTAATTGATGTAGAATGATCCAGTACATCGGATCAAATGAAAAAAATAGTTAAAAAAACTATTCTGCTGTCCTGAGACTTTTCCTTATTTGACTTATTTATTAAAATTCTGTTGTTTTTCATGACAAAGTCAAAAGATCAATCTGGTAGAAATCTTCTTTTGAGATTTATACCCACCTAGTCTTTGTTTGGCAGTGTAAAAGTTATGTTTAATATAATCATCCTTGTTGTATTTTTCAACTCTGCAGCTATTATCATAATTATCTTACTTCATTGTTATATTTTGGTTGGAAACCAAAGGGTTAAATTTAAGCGCCCAACAAAAAATTGTGCAATCGGGATTTTTTATCCTCTGTGGTATCTCGATCTATACAGCCAAGCTAGCTCTCCTATTGGTTAAACTTTCAGGAGCTGAAGAGAAGCGTTTGTGTTCAACAAGCATAACCTGCTAACTGTCCTTTTAAATATCCACATTTATGTCGTAGCTATATAATATATGTATTAGCCTATAGTATGTGTGTTGAATACCTGTTACAATTAGCAGTTCAAAGTGAAACATAGTGGGCAGCCAGAATTGTTCTGAGGTCATGAGGTCTTTGGATGGAAGCTTTTCTCCTTAGTAGGCTACTGCATCACAAAGACTGTTTAAACATTGAATCTGATTATTACTTTGATTATTCGTTATTATTATTAGCTTGATCTCCGGTGATGTTACAGCCATCCGTGGCTGGGGAACAATTGGCCTCGCTCTCCCCACATCACTGAGCACAATGCTAGCCAGTGCAGGCATCTGTTAGCTGACGCAAGAGAATTGGCGGTTAGTGTTCTCCTCCAAGTGCGCTCAGCTGTCCAATAACATTACGTTAGCGGCAGTTCGAAAAGATGTGGTGGCTGGCTTCACGTGACTCGGAAGAAGCTTATGCTTGCCTTCACCCTCCTAGTGCTGGTGGTATGATGTAATTGGGGAGTCCTAACTAGTGGGTGGAATTGAATATGACTGAATCGGTATGAAAATAAAAACTGTCTTATGACAGTTATGACCTTGTGTATGCTAGTATACTGTTTGTGATTCAATAATGCTTAACTGGAGATCTACCTATAAAAGTCAATTCCACTGGTATCACCAAGACACAGAGACAATAGAGACAGAAAGAGCAAATAAAAATATTTATTTTCTTCTACTAAGAGGGCTAGTTTTATCGGGTTGAATTTGGCTACACGCACTCCACAGTTGAGAACTTGCAGCATCTTTGTGACATGAAGCGTCTGTTGAGATTGTGTTAGCATATGTCCCACATGCCCCTACATGCAGAATTCAGGAAGATGGTAAAATGTACTAAAAAAGAGCCTTAACGTTGAGAAGAATGCTAATATTAGAATATTGCAATAGCCGCCCACTGTCCCATTGTAATCTAGTCAAGCCTACGTGTTATGTCTTTGTCAGAGAAGCTACATTATTAACCAGACAAAATAAAACTGTCTGTGTTTAACTGCGAAAGGCATTTGCTTGGATGTAGTTATAGAAACACTGTTGTGGTGAGTTTTGGGTAATACTTTATTTGAACCCTGTTACATAACATAACATTGACATATCCAAGCAATTCAGATGTCACGGCAGGTATTTTACTGTTATATTATGTTACACTTTTGTATTATGGGACGTAATCTGTTACGACAACTCATGACAGCATTTGTCATCTGCCATGATAAGTTTATGGCAGGGTTACGTCAATGTTATGCAGCATGGTTAGTAAAGTCTAAAGTGTTACCAACCTTTGATCCAACCAAGCAGTTGCACATCTGATATGATTATCAGATCATGCTGAAAACAAAAACTAAGAGATAATATAAAAATATCTCATAACCTCTACAAGATTCCGCAACAGCCAAGCACCTTTAAATGCACATATTTAAATACCCACTTCAGAATGATGAATGTATGTTACTTAGGCAAGACTGTGTTGACCCCTGAACATTGTTAGTAACTTTTGGCATCCAAACCCAGATTCAGACCACCAGATGGTGGAGCGCAATTCATCACACCAGGGAAGGGTTTCCCTGCTGCAGAGTCCAATGCTTTACACCACTCCAGCAGACATTTGACATTGTACATGATGATCTTAGACTTGTGTGCAGCTGGTTAGAAACTCAATCCATGAAGCTCCTGAAAAACCATTCTTGTGCAGACATTGAATGGAAAATGCTTGGCTAATCCTTTTACTTTTGTCAAAATGTTGGGAAACAACCAATCGCAAGATCATCAGTTATACAACTCTTCAAATTCATTTACTCTCACACAAATAAATTGCACAGATAAATTATGTTTGATGTAAGTGTGAAGCACATATCTATATATGCTTGCTGAAGCTGGTACTTTGTGACACAAACTAAATAAAAATCTACAAAAAAATCATCTTTGTTAAAGCATTTCCTTTAAGTATATCAAAGTAATAAATATATGTCAAAGTAAATGTTGCTAAAGAACTGAAAAATAAAGTACCGGTTGAACCAAAAACAAGTTGAGCACCAAACTTGAGAGATGAAATTTGACCCAGCATTCTTTCAACTTATGTAACAAACTTCTGACCTCATTTACTACTACATAGGGTTTGTCCTGTTCCAAGCCAGTCCAGGCATATTTTAATCGATCGGGTTTGGCTGTGTCAAACCCAATCTGCTTCAGAGACTTTGTCTCTCTTTTTGCCTTCTATTTATGCCTCTGTCATTGAGGTGCCACAAAAGGACATTATCCACAATGTCCAGCAGTGAGGCATGTTTTCCGACGTTGACAAAGTGATCAAAATGTCTGGATTGTGGAACTGTAAATAAAGTGGAAAGAGGATAAAAACTTGTTTCAACTGTGCTTGAGTCTTCTGTCAAAAAATAAGCACATGAAACTGAGCACATAGTTGTTATGCTTTGAGTCTAATTTTGCAGCTTGCTGTTGACAAGCCCTTCTTTACCGGCCTCTCCAACTCATCTCAAAAGTATTTTCTCTGCGATGGTGTCCCATCGTTCCAGTAAATGTAGTTCCACATCCACATTTTACATGAGGTGCCAAAGGGGTGACAGGGAGATTTGGAAGGGTGGCGTATTCATGTGTCAGGATTATACTGTAGTCACAGGTAAAAATTTCACTTGCAGGACGCTAATTCATCAACAAATGGAGCTCCACTGTGGCTGTCATTGTCCACTTAACTCACTAAAAAATGCAGATACAGGAGATTGGTCTGGTTGACTGACTTGGTTTGATTTGTGTTGATCCACATGAAGCTTCAGCATGAGCGGTTCACTGAAGTGTAGTTCATATATCAATAAAGTCTGGAAAATAGGCATGCTATTATTATAGAATTCAATCCAGTATCCATTAGCTGGTCAACAATTTCAAGTTGAACTTTACACTGAAAAGCTACTGCAAGGCAAATACAATGTTAAGTCAGACATTGCCTAATGTCTGTTCTGAGAAAGAAAATGGCTCATGCACATGTGCATAAGTTGTGTGAATATGAATAATAGACTTTTGGCAGTATTGTCACACCAAGCTTAATACATTTTTTGGTCATATTTTAGAGGCTGTGGAAGTGGAGTGGCAAGCACCATGGAGACCACCCTGAAGATCCACTTCTGGTTATAGAAAGGGCATTGACCTGAAAACAGGCATTTCAGAGGTTCAGATGAGA